TCAGCTAGGTTATTAGCTATAAGAGGGTTATCTATAAAGCTAGGTAAACTAAAAGCTCTAAACTGAATAGTTAAGGCTTATTTCTACTTATTAAAATTAGAGCTATCTTTTAGCCTATAACCTTCTGAGAAACTATATACTTTCTTAGATAGTTCTCTAACTATAGAGGTATTTAAAGCAGAGGTTAAACTAGTAGGTTTAGTTTCTAAATTAGAAGATAATTCTTCTTCTTTATTAACTTTTATTTTACTAGTTATTTCTTCTCTTTTAATCTCTTCTTCTCTATTAGAATTAGAAGAGATAATCTGAGTAAGGTTCTGAAGAGCTAAGTAGAGATTACTTATAGAGCCTTTTAGGGTCTTAAACTCTTTAGTTTGGGAATTTAGAAGATTTCTTATATCTTCTACTTCTTCCTCTAAAGCCTCTAGATTCTTATTAGAGTCTATAGGGCTAGAAGGAGCTCTAAAAGAGCCTTCTTGAGGTTGTTTTCCCTTAGTGCTAGAAGTAGCTATTTTAACTTCTAAAGGGCTAATAGCTAGTGCTTTTATTAAGACTTATATAGCTAGTTAAGTAATTCAGTGAATACTCCTTTTTAGATCTCTTAGGAAGAGGTCTAGGGTAGCTAGATTAAGAGGATAAAAATCTCCTAATTTTGCGCTTTCTAAATATATTTTTTATAGATTTTTAGGGCTTAAAGTAAGCCTTTTATAGAGAAAAGAAGCTAGTAGCTTTAAAAGTTGATTTTTAGTGTAAAATAGCGCTATAGCCTTAGCGGCCTTAGGGGCTTAGGAGCCTGGAGCTTAGCGGTTAATTGATCTAACGTTCAGAGGGCTAGCAGCTGTCTTTAGTGGTCTGCAGCTGTATGCGGCGGTTGCTCTAGTAGTGCTAAGAGCGCTGTAACTCAGTGAGTTTTAGCGTTAAACAGGGTCTTCTTCAGCAGGCTAGTAGCCAATTAGAAGGGTTTGTTCAGTGGACCTAGCGGTCAGAAGGAGCTAATTATAGCAGGTTGCTAAGAGGAGTTAAAAGCCTAATATAGAAGCCTTTCAGGGGCTTTAGTTGTCTAATAGGGCCTAGGAAGGAGCTTTATAGTGGGGGTCTTCAGTGGACTGACTACTAATAAATAGGTGTATGTTGGAGCCTAACAGGGGTCTTAGCTAGTAAAAATACAGGCTTTCCAGTGGAAATTAGCCGGATATAGCAGTAAGAGCGCTGTAAGTTAGTGAGCCGGGCTTATAACCTGTTGAAATTATAAGAGGTTTACAGGGTATTTGCCCTTATAAGCCTCTATAATGCAGCAGGGAAGTTCACTATAACTTACAGTTCTTAACTGCTAACTCCGCTATAACTTAATGAGTTTTAGTACTAGAGGGACTAAATATAGTATAAAATATAGTATAAAAGAATCTTATTTTTATGAGAGAGATCAGAAAATTCTATCTAATTTCTCTTATAGATCTACTGACTAAAAACTATTCTAAAACCTACTATAGTAGCTTCCCGGGTTACTTTTGATTTTCTGTAAAATTTATTACTATAGGAAATCTAAAAAATTAACTTATAACTACTAAAACCTTCGACTGATATATATAGCTTTTATAAGACCTACTTTTCTCTGAAAGAAGCTCTTAAGCTGATCAGTTAAGTATAGATATTAAATACCTTATCTTTAAAGCTAAAGGAATTATCTAAGATCTAAGACCTAGTCTAGGGTAGGCTGGCTATAGGGTAGCCTGGGTATAGGTTAGGCTATCTAGTTTATCCTAGGATTTTTTCCCGGATTTATTAGACCCTTATTTAGACTAGATAAGCCTGATAACCTAATAATAGGTCTGCTAGTAGTCCGGACCCCTAAGGGTTCCTAGGGCCCGCTAAGCTGTAGCGGTTATAGCGGTCTGTAGCTACTGACCTACAGTAGCTGCAGCTGCTATTAGCTAGTAATTATTATTACTAAGAGATAGCGATCTTAATTACTATTAGCTAGTATTAGCAGGGGGTTATTAGCAGTTATAGCCAGTAGCTACAATCGCTAGAAGCTAGTGGTTACAATCGCTAGCAGCTAGTGGCTGTAATTACTAACAGCCAGATTGATCGCTAATAGCCAGTAGCTACGATCGCTAGCAGTTAGTGGTCATAACCGCTATCGCACTTATAACCCCACTAACTTATAGTAGCTATAGTCTCTTAAAATCAACAATATATACTTAGTTATATTATATAATATTTTTTTATATTATATTATTTTATTTATTTTTCTAAATAATTATATATATATTATATATATAAAGTAGCTATAGTTAGTATAAATATACTTATTAAATATTTAGTAATTAATTAATTAAATAATTAATAATATATTATATAATAATATTTTAACTTATATAAATAAAAGAGTAAAAAAAATAGAATTAAAAATTAAATCTAAATTAAAACTTAGTTAAAAATAAATTATATAGATTTAGTTATATATATATAATCTAATTCTAGAATATTTTTTATATATAATAAAAACCTTTAAAAAAATATAATAATATTAAAATTATAGTAAAAATTTAATTAGTAAATTTTATATTTATAATAAGATTACTCTATATTAGAGAATTTAGATAAGTAAATAATAAAAATCTCTAAGATTTATAGTTTAAAAAAAATAGAAATTAGAAATAGATTTATAAATATATATTTATTTTATATAATAAATTAATTAAGCTTTATTAATATAAATAATATAAAATCTAATAAACTTATTAAAAGAATTTAATAAATATCTTAAATATTTAGAGTTTTTATTTTATAGTTTTTATATTCTAATTTAATTTTAATTTTATTATTTTTATAAAAGTTCTAAATTTAGAAAAATTCTTAAATAAATTAATTAGAATTTTATAATTTTTATTATTAATTATATTATTATATAATATAACTAATTATATAAAAATAGATATTAGATTAATATTAAATCTATATTATTTTTAATAAAAATTTTCTATAGTAGTAAATATATATTATACTTATAGAAATAAATTAATTTATAATCTTTAATAACTAACTTTTTTATTTCTAAATATATATAATTCTAAATTAAATTAAAATAAATTTTAATATATTTTAATCTAAATTATATTATTTTAAAATAAAAAAAGCTTAATTTTAATTAATTTTTAAATATTATTTTTATTTTAATTAGTTTAAAATAATATAAAATATATTAGAACTATAAAGAAAATCTCAGATTATAATATATATAAATAAATAAATAATTATTATTAAAATATAGTTTTTAATTTAATTATATTTTATTTACTTTAAATATTAATAATATATAGTAGCTATAGATTATATAATATAAAAATAAATTTAATAAATATAATTACTAGATCTAGAGTATTATTAATAGCTTTATTATTATAAGTAAACTCTTAACTATTTAGAGAGATATAGATTAAATATACTTAAGAGCTATATATTATTATCTCTTATAATTATTATACTCAGAAGTGACTATATTGGTCTTTTATATATAATCTCTTATTATTAAGTTCTCTAGGTTATCTAGGCAGCTGCGATCCAGCTGATATACAGCTGCTAGGCTGCTTACCTAAGCAGGGTTCAGCTAACAGCTGGCTGATCCCTGCCAGGACCCTTCTGACTATAATAATAATCTTTATTATTTTATTAAGATCTATATTATTTATAGTAACTAAAGCTCTATAAATAGAAATAATTATAGAAGATATTATATTATAGATATTTAATATTAATAATATAATTAATTAATTAATTAAAATATACTTTAAATTAGAAAGAAAAAATAGTTATTATTCTTAAATAATAAGCTTTTCTTCTTAGAGCTTATAACTATAACTAGATTATTTATATATCTAGCTATATAAATAGCTTCTATTATTAGAGTTTTTAAAGTATTAATATCTATATTTAGATTAAAAATATTTAATTTTAATTTTATTTTATAGTATTAAAAGTTTAAATATAAACTATTAATTATATTTTTAAAAAAATTATATTATTTAGTTATATATTATCTAATCTTAGAATATATCCTTATTTATAATAAAATTAATAAAAAAAATTATTAATTATATAAAGAGAGAAAGAGTTATAATAAGAATATATATATATCTTAGTTAATTAAAATAGTTTATTATTTATTACTTAAGTCTAGCTAACTATTTATTCTAAAATTAAATTTATTTTTTACTTTTAAATTATTTTTTATTTTTAAAATTATAATTCTTAATCTATTATTTATATAACTAGTTTAGCTAATATAATAACTAATTATACTACTAGGGTATAGAAATACTTTTAAGCTTTTAAATATAGTAAAAGGAATATAAGGTCTATAATTAGTAAATTAAAAGCTATAAGTATATCTGCTATATTAATATTATAAATAAGATTATATAACTATATCTGTGACTGGAAATAACCCTCCGGAACCCCCGGAGAGACCGGTCAGATCAGTCAATTCAATCAACCTTCCTTGCATAACCCCTGTGAGACCCCTGCGAGCCGGCTGCTGCAGGCTGTAAAATTCAACACGTATCAACTCTCAGTCAACGTTTTACCCAATCGGTACATACCCGATCTTCGGAAGCATGATGCGGGGAAGTGGTCGGCTGGAGAGCGTGTGCCGGTCTGCTTTGGAAAATTCCCGTAAGCCTCTGTTTACTGCGACTATAAAAATCAGCTATGAGTGAACTCAAACCTCCGATCCTGTTTCCGGTGCACCCTTGACCTCTTTTATCTTCGTATTCAAAATATCCACTGGTGACGATCACAAAATATGTCGGAACAAGGGGTAAAACATGATTGCGAGTACGACTCTGACCCTCGCCAAAATAAGGAACTCGCCCGCTCACTGAAGGGCAAACATGTCCTTATTGCTGGTGCCGGTCGCGGTATAGGTCGCGCCACAGCCGAGTTCTTCGCGCATACAGATATCTCGTCACTAAACCTCGTTGCGCTGGAAATTGTCGAAGTGGAAGAAACAGCAAGACTCGCTAGAATCATCAATCCCTCTATCACAGTAAAATCTGCTGCGTTTGACGTCAGAGACTTCGATGCTGTGCACGCATTTGTGGAGGGTATAGTACATGAATTTGGTAGAATCGATGTTGTCTTCATGAACGCAGGCCGCCCTCCGCAATGGCTACCACTGCACGAGTCTGAGCCAACTATTTGGTGGGATACGGTGACAGTGTCGCTACAAGGGTCGTTCAACTTTGCACGCGCTGCCATCCCATTTATGCGTGAAGCGTCAGAAGGGGGAAGGTTAATCTTCACGTCAAGCCTCGGCGCTCATCTCACTGAGGGAGCAGGAAGCTATACAATTGGCAAGCTTGGAACGACAAGGCTCGCCGAGATATTACACCACGAGAACAAAGATGTCGGGATCAAAACGTTCAGCATCCATCCGGGTGTGATTAATACCAGGTTCTATTCAGATTTCGCGCACGCGGTTGAGGGAAAGCTTGCGAGCGATGGGAGTAGCTATGTGTCCGATAAAGTACCAGGCGATATAAAGTCTGCCAAAAATGTGGTCGATTTCTTCAAGGACAAGTCCTTTGACACTCCACAGATGCCGGCAGGTATGGTGGTGGTATTGGCGAGTGGGAGACTGGATTTCCTGTCGGGAAGGTTTGTTGATTCATCTCACAGGGTGGCGCGGTACCTCGCGAACAAAGAGCAGATTCTCCGAGAAGATATCTACAGGGTTAAACTTATTGGCATAAACCAGTTTTTGCCGGAATGGAAGGATTAATGGACGCCTGACACGCTGCGTTTTGCGAGATAGTATCAAGATAAGATGTTTTCATGCAGTATCTGGGTTGAAAAATTGGCTGCATTCAGTATCCATCAAGGTGAGAGCAAAGATGTCGCAGTGAACCGAGCGTCTGGACAATCATGTCGAGGGATGCGGCCACCTCCTCTCTATTGTGCCGCATGTGTAGAGGACTGTAGTTAGGAAAGCAAAGACGAAGGCCTGAAATTCGCCACTTCTCTCCTGCCATACGGAGGAGATCCATTCTCCAAGTTTCCACAAGTCCCGTATCATTCACCTCGGCTCGACAACCCCAGTGGAAAGATGCTTCATGCAGAGTTCTGCTAGATGAGCCTAGTTAAGTCTGGTGACCTGATTCACAGGATGAGCCAGTCTATGATTCCAACGACAAAACAGACGATAATGAGATCAGCTCTAAACTGGGGGTCAGACAGATTCTCTATGTTATTATTAAGGATAGCGACGGTTTTAAGTACTCATAGACTATCCTGGATTTTACTGAACTGAGTAACCCTGGTTTTATTATTCGATTTAGGTGCTGTTTCTAGCAAGGAATAGAGAGCTCTAGGAGGCTGTTAAAGTTTATATAGTAGATAGATAAAATTATATAGTTATATTTATATAAAATTATATAATTCTAATACTTCTAGAGAGAATATATATATAATTTATTATGTATTTCTTCTTTAAATTTAATATTTTTCTATTTTTTTTTAAAAAAAATATTAAATAAATTTTAATCTTAATTAAATATATTATATTATATTATATTATATTATACATTATTAAGAAAAACTATAAATAAATAAATAAATATAAAATTAAAATTTATTTCTATATAATATTATATAAAACTATATTTAGTTTTTAATCAGTATATAATAATTTTATAATTTATTATTATATTTTTCTTTAACTATTCTATAGTAATAATTAATTAATCTATTATAATTCTAGATATTATTTTATTAATTTTATTTAATCTAGACGTGGTCATGTAGTAGCGGCACAAGGGGCGAGATACTGTTCTGAACCGCCTTTCCTGAAACTTCTTTCGGTTATAGGAAATGAAACCAGACCAGGAAACAGCAGCTCGTCAGGCGGAAGCTACACTTACTCACCAACAGCGGGAAGGCCGTGCTATCCGCTCGGACCAACGTCTGGCGGTTCCAGCATTCCGTGGTGCTTGATACAGGTTGGAACAAGAAGTAATTCCACGAGGCGAGTTAGATTTCATGCCGCGGTAGATCCGTACAGAGAGTCAATTGTCTTGGTATTGTTCGGAACTCCCGATGGAAGCACCCAAACGGAACGGATAGGCTAGGAACAACGGTATTGGTTTACCACTCTGTTAGTCCGGGGCGGGCGTTCCCCGCCAGCGAGCGACCCTTGGAGTTTCGGAGGCTTTCCCGCATCCGACATAGCACGACGGAGTCCCACTACGCAATCTATAGGAACAAGCCTACTATCGGGCATTACTCTAAGCATTAGGGGTGATGCCGGAGGAGGCGGGTAATCTAGGTTTACAATGGCAAGACCCTGAACTAGTTTTAACTCCGTGGCTGGATTCGGAGCGGGGAATAGCCTCATGGCAGCAACATATGGATCTATGAGCTTCTCCATGAGGCGATTTGGGTGAGACCTATCATATTGTCTAGGAGTTGATGAAGGGGATAACGCGTTGCATTTCATACGGATAATTCTAGTTCATGCCTAGATCCTAATCCTAACTCTCATGCGAAATCACGCCATCAATGGTTCCGGCGTGCAAGCCACCAGTAATGAGCAAATCAGTAGCCGTAATATGTCTTGACGCATCACTCAAGAGGTAAACGAGGGCCGGAGTGAGGTCGTTCTGCGTGCTGAGTCGCTTAAGGGGGGGCGCAAGGATAACTTGGTCGCCTTCACGCTTATTGTTGGTTGCACGAACTGCTTGCATCATATCCGAATCCACAAAGCCTGGTGATATCGAATTAACTCGAATGTTATGCTTGGCCAATTCGACTCCAAGAGCCTTTGCCAACATAAGAATAGCGCCCTTGGATGCGTTATCTGCCGCCATTCTCAATCCAGGAAGAGCAATGTGCGAGCACTGAGACGCGAGCAGGACAATGCTGCCTGGGGTGCCTTGCTCGATCAGTTGTTTCACGATAAGCTGAACTATGAAGAATGTTCCTCGAACCTTGTACCGAGAGCACCAAGCCGCAACCTTGGGAACAAAAGGGGAAAGGGTCCCTAGATAGTAAAGAAACATACATTGATTTCTTGGATTCTTGTTAATTCCTCCCATGTCTGGTCTACAAACGGCTTGTCGATTACAACTCCCGGGGCTGGAATGCAACCGTCAATGTGACCCAATGCAGCAAGGGCCTTGTTAAATCCTTCTGTGAGGCTGGCTTGGTCAACTACATTGGCTTTGAAATAATGCGCTTTCGCATTGTAGCGTGGTGCAAGTTGCTCAAAGCCGGGCACTGGCCTGTCCTGGATATCGAGCACGGCGACGTTTCCTCCCATCTCACAAATCGCCTGTGCAGCGGCGAATCCGATGCCCTGTGCGCCCCCCGTGATAACCTAGTTTCTACCACGAAGCTCAAACATGGGCCGGACTTCTTCCAAGGGTGATGCCATCTTCAGTATTATTTTCCCAAAATGCTTGGAGGTTTATTCGATGGTACAACAAGGGCCGTGCGATGGTCGATAGGTTGATGATGCTCTAGCACCGGCCAGAGATTGTGTGGCTGTCCTGATAAATCTTACTTATCCTGTACGCCAATTCCAAAGATGGGCTAGCCAAGGACAACTTAGCGGTCCTTTTGTGTCCCGGAACGCAATCGGAGCGTGCGGTGCGCCCGCTTAACGGATCCGGGCCTTCCGTACCCTTGCCGGTATAACATTATAAAACTGGGCTTGTGTAGATAGCAGTTTTTGCAAGGTAGGCTTCGATGACCCGCTGTCCTGACGGCAAGTGAGTCATCCGTACGAAGGTTTATAGAATTTCCCTGCCGTATGACTATATCTTGGGCGGGCCAGGAAAGGCTACATTCTAAGCTTTCGTATTCATTGGGTTGAGTTATCGGGCCCTGGCAGCTTCCATTGCTGTTGAACTTTATTCTCTTTCTCTTCCGTTACAAGGTAGGCAAAGTGACTTTACAACTTCAAGGATATAGAAAGTATTGTTACCCACTTGAGCCACTGCCCATATTTCTTCAGAGTAAGCCAGATCTAGGTAGTAGCGCTCTTTTGTCGCCATAGTGTAAAACTCCCAAGCAATATCTAGTGATCCAGATTACATTACGGATCTAGACTAGCTTTGCCAACTTCAACTGGTCCTTACTCTATAGTGTTTGGTTCCGAAGTCCGCCCAACCTCCGGTCGTGCACGAGTGATCCAGGCCGGACTGCGTCCTTGGGTAACTATTTCTTCATCACGGAATGGCTTATCCGACGACTTATCAGTACTTATTGAGCAATTCGCACACCTAGCGCCTTGACCACCTCTATACTCTAGTAATAAGTTCCTAATGAGGAGAGCATAAATACTGGCTTAGACTCTCGAGATCCTGGGCTTAAGAATAGCATTTTGATTCGTTTTAAACAGGAGAACAGTTACTAGCCTTAATTCATCTTTATTTCTCGTCCTTCATGTTTAACTCAATCGATTACGGCGTGAAGCCACCGGCTGACTCGAAGCTGGATACAAACCTGCAACAACACCCAAGTCAACAGACCGGTGAAATCCAAACTGTCGGGACTAGTCCAGACATGTTGGCACCCTTGTTAAAGAAAGCTGTGAATGATGTTAGTGGTAGCCCTGAGGACACACCTGTTCTCGTGTCGGTGGCTGCAGCAGATCGTAATAGGGCTCTTGTGCAAGATGCGTTAAGCAAAGGCGCAAAAAACATAACGCAACTATCAGATCTTTCCAATTCGCGTAGAGAGGTTGACGCGATGATGCGACCCGTTATTCTCTCTGGCGTAAATGAAAGCATGGACATCTACCAGAAGGAGTCTTTTGGCCCCAGTATTTCCTTTTTCATCTTTGACACCGAAGAGGAAGCTATCCGTCTTGCTAACAATACCGAGTACGGCCTTTCTGCCGCAGTGTTTAGCGAGAACCTTGGGGCTGCCTTCCGCGTGGCTGAAGCTATTGACTCAGGAGCTGTTCATATAAACTCTATGACTGTTCACGATGAATTTGCGCTACCACATGGTGGTGTCAAAGCCAGCGGTTTTGGCCGATTCAACGGCTACCAGGGATTGGATGAGTTTTTATACTACAAGACAATCACATGGATGGAATAAAGACACCAACTTCAACTTTATTATATGATAGTCAGCGAAAATGTGCATCTACAGTCCATAATCACAAGGAGACTAGGTACTATTTCACTTTGCAAAGTTGAATGATATAAATAAAACTCTTAATGTCTGTTATTACTTAACTCAGCTAGATTTATTAAGAGGCTAGGTAACCTGGGCTTTATTGACCCCATGCTCGCAGCACGTATTGACAAGCCGTTAGAGGTATCATGGTATGAGTCTCGCTAGGAGCAAAGCGCCTGTTCACTTTCGCTTAGAGAGATTTGCTAGCCTGTGTCAGGTTCAATTCCATTCCATGCAGCAGGCAATTAATAAGATGGTAGGGTATTCTCGATTGGGCAGAACTAGATGTCCTTCTTGGTCCTTTGTCACACAATCGCGAGCCGGACTCTTCTCACCCGTCTATTCAGCTTGTTTCTTTCGACTACCTAGCCTGGCGGTAGTGGTACTCATTATATATATGCCTCATTAAGAGTAGGGAGAAGAACCGCACGCCTCTATAAGACTCTTAGCCTTGCCAATAGCCTTTGCAAAACTACTTTTGTCGATTGTAACTTCGCTTTTAGCTCTAGAATTGGGATGCTGCCACCAGTGTTGCAGTCTGCTAGGAGCGATCCCGAATTAAGGGATATAATTACTCTCCTTAACTGTACTTTTCACTGTGGGATATAATAAACACCTATTATAGATACTGAAACAGTATAAATAATCTTCTCCCCTTACTATATTATCTTTTATAATATTTAAAGATTAAAAAAAAACTGTTCTCTTTTAAACTTATTTCTGATACTAGAGAACAGAGTCACAAGTCGCTGAGATCTTATGAGTACATTCGCGCATAGCTAATGAAGCATAAATTTAGAAGTGATTATGTTGGGAAAAAAATATGGTTGCCTTGAGTGGCGAAAATCAAACGGTTAGCTTCTGAGATGGCAAGGATGCAGCAGAGCCCGCATAGGTTCTAGGCAGGTTGAGTTGGTGTGATGCTTTCTATAAACTTTATAATTTTGACCCCTTAGTTCTCCTTTCATCGCGCTCTTTGTCTCTTAGTAGTCGACGAAGGATCTTTCCACTTGGACTTTTAGGAATAAGCTCTAGGAATTGGACGCCTCCTCTTAGGTGTTTATATGAAGCCTTGTGGTCTGCCACGTGCTTCATAATATCACTCGCCAACTCGTCATCAGTCAATGACCCAGCCAGTGAACCTTTCACAACAAAAGCTTTGGGTACCTCCCCTGAGTGGTTATCGGGTATTTGGATCACAGCACAGTCAGAGACGTGAGGATGCGCCAGTATATGGGCCTCGAGCTCCGCAGGTGCTACTTGATGACCCTTGTAATTGTCAGTGCCTGTTTTATATGGACATAGTGCTCACCCACCTTGACTTTGATCAATTCCTTGATCCTATCAACGATGACAACATGTTCGTTGCCTGATGGGGCGAGAGTAACCAGCGCTTCGTCTCCTGTGCGAATCCATCTACCATCTGAATGGTGAACAAAAGTCTCTGCGTTGGCTTTCTCATTGTTCAAATAGCCCAACACAACAGAAGGGGCCTGGACGAGAAGCTCCCCAGGCTTGTCATATTCGGTGACTTCTTTCCCCTGTGTATCTATTATCTTTCCTTTTGCCTCTGGTAGAAAGGAGCCTGAGCCTTTAGTGAGTACGTCGTCTTCACTTGACGCTGTGACGACCGTGGCAGTTTCCGTCATGCCTATTCTATTAGACCCGATTTCGACATGCGGGGGCCCGTTCGTGAACACTCACCGTAAGCTTGGGCTATGGTCCATTGCGGGTACAGTTCTTTCGTATCTCGAATGGTTTCCTCACCAAGAGGCGCTGCCCCACAGAAGACGAACTTAACGCTGCTCAGGTCGAATTTGGCACATAATTCTTTGTATCGTAAAATTTGGATAATGATAGGGGGCACCTAGGCCGGTTGGTTAGTGATCCAGGCTAGCAGCTTGTGCCTATACTTACCACCAGTAGCTGTCTGATCTTGAAGTCCTGAATTGACTTGAGAAACTTGTGCAAGTCGAATCGAGGAAGAACAACCACCTGGTCACCTCGCCATGTATTAGTATGCGCGGCAATGACGAGGCCGTAAATGTGCGAGAAGGGTAGGAACCCTGTAACTGCCTGCGTAGTTACGCCTTTTCTCGCTCTAGAAACAGAGTCAAAAGTGACATTCTGCAGGACGTTCGAAATCACATTGTAATGAGATATCATGACGGCTTTCTGCTATCAGTGTCAGCCCACATCTCCATCGCGAGAAAACCGTGCTTACCGGCAAGCCTGATGTTCCACTTGAAAAGCATAAGAAAGCCGTTTGACGAGCACCTTGGCCACCGGTCCATCTCAGCTGATCGATATTGCCAAGTCTAGAACCCGATGTGATTAGGTCCTCTACTGTCGCATGTTCAAAACGTGAGGCCGACTCGGTCTCAGGAATGTCAAAAAGAAACACATTTTCATCTGGTATCCCAACGCTGCGAGACGCCTCAAGAGCTGTTGGGAGCAAAGGCGTACACGTAATCAGAGCTTTTGCTCCGGATGATTTGAGTTGATGCGTCAACTCGGCAGCGGAATATGCTGCATTGGCTGGCGTGACAATTCCCGATAGACGATGAACTCCGTAGATGGCGGTTACGAAATCAATCTGGGCGCTTTCAGTTAAAATCGATTCCCCAGGTGGGCTCAGAGAAAAGGTACGAACGGTGTTGAAGGAGAAGATTGCCACAACCTTCTCCCAGGGTGTCCCCTCATTTGGCTGCCATTTTAGGTGTTTGGCAAAGGCTCTGGCCAGGTACTCTGCTCTTTGGAAGAATTCAGAGGTTGAGTATGTACGATGAGTGATTCCGCACGTAAACGGATCTCGGCTTTTAACAATTGGACAGCGGCCATATGCTTCGTTCTGCATGAACTCTGAAATGGGGATCGAGTCCGGGGGATCTGTGAATTGTCAGCAAGGGGCTGATACTGGTGCGTGTAGACCTTTGGTACGCACCAATCGGCAAACTGGGCACCCAGCTAGGGGAGGAGAACACCATCTTGGATCGTTTGGCGTTTGGATCTGTCACAGTTCGGCGCGTTGTACAGAGTGCTTAGACTGACTGTTGAGCTCTCCTACCTTAGGGCACCATCGGCTGAAGTCACTTGATATGTGGTGGTGGTGGTGGTGATGGTGGTGTTGGCAGCTAGTCCTATAACAGATAACCGAGAGCGAGACCCAACCTCCGGTGTTTACCAGGGCGCTATCAAAGGGTCGATTGCATTAGCCGGTCGGTTAGAGCACAGATTTGGTATTCTCCCGCCTTAGACTGGAAACATTTCCTACGTATTGGCCAATGAGATTACGCCAGTGGCAGCGAAAATTGCCTCGGCATCATCTCACTACCAATTGTCGAGGTCTGACTTGATGCGATGAGATGAGACAGAGAACTCTTGATATTCAGGCCCTGTACCGCAAATTATAGCTGTTCTGAGAAAAAGGTTCCGGAATCTATTCACAGTCTTTCAGTGCTATCAACTAATCATGGCCAATTCAAACCTTGAACAAGTCCCGGCCACGATGTGGGCATGGAGGAAACATCGAGGGAACCCAAAGCCAGTACGTGATAACGTCTCCAAGTCCAACTATAGTTCCTAACACCATCGAGATATATGAACAAGTTCCCGTCCCCAGTTTGCCCTCCAATGGTATTCTCTGTAAAATGTTGGCATCGGGTGGTACGAGCAGCCGCTTCTCCAGCGTGTGATACGTGCTGACTGTCATCCAGTCTGTCGAAGTGACCACTCTCTACTCACCATAGATAAACAAGCGGCCTGGTTTGAAGACAAGTATATTCTGGTATGGTAGCTATCTACGGGTGGTATGCAACTGGAACTGACGATGACCGCGCAGGGACATGAAGGCTGTGGGCAGATCGTTGGGATAGGCAGCGCAGTACAGGATGGCAGGTTTCAGGTGGTAAGAGTTATTCTTCAAGACAGACATCTACGCCGCTAAACGCACGCTTAGGGCGACGTCGTGGCTCTCCATGCAGTCCCCGGTTGTGGGCAAGACGATTGCCCGGAATGTTCTCGCGACTTGGCCCAGCTGTGTGAGAGAGGCCACCACTCCGGCATTGGTCAAGACGGCTTTTATGCACCTTACGCAGCCATCGACATACGAGGCGCAGTCAAAGTACCCAAAGGTAATAGCCATGATACTGAGCACAGCTGAACATTTTAGCTAAAGCTCTGGCAGGCGTTACACCGGCGGAAGCATCTGTTGCGACGGACGCAGTCAGCACTGCGTATCATGCCATCACTAGAAGAGGGCAAGTAATGAGGGACGAGACGGTCTTTCTCTTCGGGCTTGGTGGCCTAGGGCTCAACGCTCTTCAGATCCTCATCCACATTGGAGCGAAGGTCATTGTCTCGGATATCCGACAGGAACTGCTTGACGAGGCACACAAGCTCGGCATTCCGTCTCGCCATCTGGTTCCTATTGGGACGGCTCCCCAGCAGTTCGTTGCGGAAAACGACCTTTCCGGCAAGATCGACACGGTCCTGGACTTTGTTGGAACTCATCAAACGTTTGAAGATGCCCAGCATATTGGTTAGTCTCCCAGTTCGATTGAATTTGCTTTCGATAATTGACAAATGCAGTACGACGCGGTGGGAAACTCCTTTGTATTGGGAGTCTAGACACCGAAAACACAATTCATATGAAGATTGGAACAAGAAAGAGACTTTCATTCATCTTCTCCTACGGTAGCCAAGTGAAGGATCTCGAGCAGGTCCTTGACTTGATTGCGGCTGGGTGCATCAAGCCTCAGGTTGAGACTAGAAAACTTGAACAATTTGATGAGGTTCTTGAAGCACTTTGCGATGGAAAGGTACGGGCGCGTATTGCTTTGCTGCACGAGTAGACAGAAGAACTAGTAGATGGGTGATAGAAAAATGATCCTCATTATGTTGAGATGTCGGGTCTGACATCTGTCATTGTTGTTTTTAAGTTTATAATGCTCTCATCCTCAGGAAAAGATTCTTCTCGTCTATCATCATCCATTGACACTCGCACTTGCTGGTAGACTGGTTCCAACTGCTGCGGTAGTACCAGCATCTACTGGCAATATGGCTCCTGTGATCCATCTGGCATGGTTGCTTGCCAAGAACACAACAGCGCAGGCTGCATCCCACCCTGTCCCCTCGGTTCCAAGCAGGCTCCGCGCTTTTCTGGCCTCCCTGGCCTCATCCGTCATTCCTTTTGCGTACATCATCGGGGTGTAAAGCATCTAGAAGCAGTCAGTAGGCCGATCCTTCTGGGGCATGGGTCACTTACTCCAGGGCAAACACAGTTGACTCTAATGCCCTCTTTGGCATGATGTGCGGCCATTGCTCGGGTCATGTTGACGACGGCGCCCTTGGCAGTCGGATAGAGGAGATGTGGTGTTCCTCCTTTCAACCCGGCCACACTCCCCATATTGACTATCGACCCTTTGATTTCGCCATGATTTTTGAGCATGGCGGGAATTGCATGCTTTGCCATGAAAACCATGCTCGACACATTGACGTCAAGGCCTACAGCCCAGCCAGCCATGTCCACATCGACAGCCGTCCCCGATGGCCCTGCTATGCCGACGTTGTTGACCAGAATGTCCAACCGACCCAGCTTCTCCAGCGCCAATGCCACGGCTTTTTCACAGTCAGCCGAGACGGTGACATCGCCTTGGGCTGGAATGGCAGTCCTTTGGCCAGATCTTTGATTAGCCATGTCCGCTGTTTTAGTCGCCCATGCCAGGTTCATATCGAGGCATATCACGCTGCACCCCTCATCTGCCAGCATGATGGAGATTGCTCGACCGTTCCCGATGCCGTCTCCAAAGCAGCCGGCGCCTGTCACGATGGCGACCTTGCCTTTGAGTGAGCGGGAGGGAGGATCAACAGGGATCTCGGACGACATTATGCAGCACAATTCTGTGGGGAAATATGTAGAATTAATTGTTGTTATCGAAAGCTCTCCTTCGTATCTAATAGTCGCATCTCGTCAATATGTTGATCTTCTGGGAGCAAATATCGGATCTCGGGATGTTGCTAGAACGGCTATCCCAATTAGTCAATCCCGGGCCCGAATTCGGCCTCGCAGACAAGCACCTGGAGGGAAAACGACGCAGTAAATGGATGAGTAGTCAGCAATATGCCATAATGGTTCAGTCAACTTCAATGGCACCCACCTGATAGAGCGGAGTCAAGCCGAGGCTCAGCTGAGGAGAAAGCAGAGAGTTGGGTAGCCTGCCACACCAACATAGATAATCAACAGTTGGCAAGAATAGAACCGTCTCATTCAATCACACGAATTCAACAAAATGTGCGACTTTTCTCAATACGGCGGCAAGTCAGACGAATGGCTAGCATTAGAAGCGAGCCTGCCACCACCTCCCACCTTCGCAGATGTCTATGACAGACAACAGGCAATCAACCGAGGTCGGGAGGAGGTCTCGGCCGCAGACATGGAGCAGCTGGCTCCATCCATTCGTCTCAAAGATCACAGCATTCTTGCCAGAGACGGAGCTACGCTCGAAGCACGCAGCTACAGGCCAGCATCTACCAAGGATAATGCCCGTCTCCCCATCTATATTCACCTTCATGGAGGAGGCTATTTCTTCGGCTCGCTGTCTTCAGAGGATGCTATATCTACCCGGATTGCACTTGGCGCGGGAGTTACGGTCGTAAATGTCAACTACCGCCACACACCAGATGCTACGTTTCCCACCGCGTGGAACGACGTTGAAGATGCATTCTACTGGGTACACGATCATTTAGATGAGCTGCGTGGTAACTCTGATCAGGTTCTGGTTGGAGGTATCTCGGCCGGCGCTCAGCTTGCGGCTGCCTTAGTCTTGAGACAAAATATCGCATCGCCCGATATTCTCCAAAAGCCCAAGATTGCCGGACAGGTCTTGATGATTCCCGCCCTGGTTCACTCCGACTCGTACCAGTCTCAGCTGGACCAGCTGTCAGATCCCTCAGTTTCCTCCTATATCGAGAATGAGCATGCGCCTATTCTTTCGCACAAGGTTATCCAATTCTTCACCGGATTGCTGAAGGTTCCGGTTCCAGATCCTGAGAATGAAGATTTCCGGTTCAATACTGGCAATGCATCAACGCTGCAAGTACGAGGCTTGCCACCTACGGTGCTTGGCATAGCTGGACTGGACCCTTTGCGAGATGAAGGGCTACTGTACGCCAAAAAGCTGGCAGAGGCAGGGTAAGATCACCGTGAGAAACTCGATTCCTCATGCTTACAATCAACCATTATAGCGTCGCGACAGATATTCACGTCTTCAAGGGCTTACCGCATGGATTTCGCCGTTATGGTGAACAGTTGAGCGAGTCAGCGCGATGGGATAAAGTCATGGAAAACGGAATTAGATGGGCCATTTCGAACCCGAAGCCTTCTAGGAAATTTGAAGTTAAAACTGCTTAGTATCAATTTGATCGGTCTTTGCAGCAGATGTCGGTTAAATTAGGTATTCTACAATCTAGTTGTGTCCCATTACGAAATCCGAGTAACCCCGTGCCTTGACCTCGTCACATCTCTTCCGATATCCTGGTGCTGGTCCATTGTATCGTGTCATGGAACGCTTCTGCTTGTGGGCCAGGTTCTTGTTAACGCCAGTCATCCACGAGTCAACTTCATTTGCCAGAAGACCTTGGCCACAATCGTGCACATGCTGTGTCCAGTCCTCCATGCCCTTCTCGGTCGCTTCCACGGACGTCACTTTGTTGTCCCGGGCATAGCGAATAAAGTCGGCTACCCAATCTGCCGCATACTCGATGGACCTGAAAGAAATGGTTGTAAGTGACATGTGCCTAGAAAGAAAGAAGGGAAACGAAGAATACCTTGGGATGTTGCCAAACATCTGGTGTGGCCCCATGATCATAAACATGTTGGGAAAGTCTTTAACCGTGAGGCCCAGGAACGTCCGGATGCCGTTGGCCCAAACATCTTTCAGCTTGGTCTCGTTGCGACCCTGGAAATCCACAGCATTAAAGGACCCGGTCACAGCATCAAATCCGGTCGCGTAAATGAGGATGTCCAGTTCATGAAATGCGTCCTCGGTCTGAACACCGGTTTCTGTGATTTGGGAAATCGGGGCTTCTCGAACATCGACGAGCTTGACATTCGGTTGGTTGAAGACCTCGAAGTATCCGCTCTCGAGGGGAACTCGTCTTGTGCCAAAGCCGTGGTTTTTCGGGATCAGCTTCTCGGCAATCTCTGGGTCTTTGACTCTTGAGCGTATCTTGTCCGCGTGAAACTTGCTATACAGCGCATTTGCCTTGTGGTCTGTGAACACATCTCCAGAGATGCTGAGTACCTTGGCGAATCCAGGTAGGGCATACAGCTTCTCCCAGTGTTCATGACGTTCTTCTTCTGTCATAGAGAAGATGCTACTGGGGTCACTCACATGGATGAAGCAAGAATACGACTCGAGGCATTGGCGGAAGATTTCTGGGTATCTCTTTCGGATTTCGTCCATCTCCTCGGGGCTGATCTTGCTATTTCGCAGCGGAGCAGTCCAGTTTGGCGTTCGCTGAAAGACGGTTAGGTGGCCGACCTTGTCGGAGATGGCCTGGATGGTCTGGATCGCTGTCGCGCCGGTACCAATGATGCCCACTCGCTTGCCAACAAGGCTGGAAGCATCACTGGGCCATCTTGCCGTATGCCAAGACTCGCCTCTGAAGTTCTTTACGCCCGGAATGTTGGGCAAGGTCGGCTTGTTCAAGATACCCATCGCCGTGATGAGATACCGGCATGTGTAATGAGCGCCATCTTCATCCTCGAGAAGCCATGAAGAGCTGTCTTCTTGGAATCGTGCCGAGCTGATGCGAGTATTGAATTGCATGTCTCTCTTGAGGTCGAACTTCGAAGTAAGATACTGGATATAGCGAAGTGTTTCCGGTTGGGGAGCGAAATGCTCCGTCCAATCCCATTCATCGAGCACCTCTTGCGAAAATGAAAAGATGTAAGAGTAGCTCTCAGAGTCAAATCGTGCTCCAGGATATCTGTTCCTGCTTGGGGTCAGTTGCTAGTTTCAAGATACCGCCATAGATGTTGAGATGCTTACCAGAACCAGGTTCCTCCCTCGGCAGATCCGGCTTCAATGACGCGTGCCTTCAAACCGAGCTCTCGCATACGGTAAAGGCTGAGGATGCCACTGAGGCCGGCGCCAATTATGAGAACATCATAATCTAGGTGATTATTTGACGATCCAAAAGCATCGTCCCGGAGTGGTTGTGCAGAAGGCATTGTGAGAAGATGTCTGGATATGGGGGGGGATGACGCAGAAGAGAAGCCAAGCCAAGCATGGAATAAATTGATAGAGTAATGATAGAGTATTTTCTCTTTAGTTATCATCCACAGGTCTTCTGAATGATTTAAGCAAGAAGCTCCGGCCTCGAGGCTCTTGTCAACCCCGCGTCATCCCCGCGTCCCCGCTTCAACCGGGTTGAGATCTGGCAATTTGATGGTGTCGCCTCTAAAAGACCAACTAGGTGCTTTCGGGCATGAGCCGGAGATGCTAACTATTACACCAACCAACAGTAGACTAGACAGCATTCAAAGCTGGCGCTTCTCCCCAATAGGATAACCATTCCACAGCCGAAGAGATTGGCGTTTTCTCATCGCCATAGCCGGAGGCACAGGAGGCACAGGATAGCCGCTTCTTGGCAACTCAATATACCGACATGGACAAACATGCACGAGCGAGTTATCAAGGCCAGGGGATGGAGGTGGCGCTAGTATGTTCTTTGTTTTTACTTTGCTTGCGTGGCTACCTTTACAGTAAGCCCTCGGCTTTCCAGTAACTCTCAAGATCGCGGAGAAACGCCCATTTCAGCCCTTTGCCGAACCCTCGAGCTTTCCAATCATTCAGACTTTGCGGAAAGTGCGGTACACCATCTCGTACCGTAGAGTCATGGGCCACCACAACAAAGATGTCCTGGTTGCAATCCAACTCTTGTAGTTGCCGAGTAGTCTTGGTAGCAAGTTCCAGATCCAGGCCGAACGTCAAGTCGAATAGACTATCGGTGGGCTCCCTTCCTCGTGATTTCTGCAGGCGTGCGAATGCCTCCCCGGGACATAGAACACTGTCGTGCCCGGGGTGGCAGGGGTGTGGAGAGATTGCGTCTGGAATTGGTAGATATTGACAGGGTCGGAAGATGCCAGCATAATGGCAGACATCCCCACCCATAAGAATGAATGTGTCTGGTCCAGCAGTCGTCCTAGCCAGACCACACAGATGACCTACAGCGTGTCCAGGACTATCCAATAGATAGAATGACCCGTCCCCAAAATAGTCAAAGGCAGGGAACTGACCAATCTTAAGTGAGTGTGGGCCTTCGAAATTGATCTCACGCAGATTGCGACCACTGATTTCTGTTGTTATTATCAAGCCATTTGAACACCTGGCAGTGAACTCACACATAATCCTTCTCTTGGATGGGTGACTCCGGATTCGCAGGGGCGCCGGGAAGCATGTTTTCTTTGAAACCTGGTCCGACGACAAGATCCGTCTTTGGGGGGAATGTGGACGGATCACCGATGTGATCCCAATGCCAGTGGCTATTAAAGTTTCAGTGACTGCGCGAGATTTGAAACATGCTTGGTGTAATGGCAGGGGCTACTTACCTCCATATCACTGATTCAATCTCATCCAAAGGGACGCCATTCTGCTCCAGAATATCTGCCACATTCCCCGCCACTTCGATGTTGTAATTTGTAGTCGGCAGGTACTTCACAATCGAGGGCGCGTAGTTTTCATGGTCCTTTCGGATTCCCAAGTCAAACACAAGTTTCCTTCCAGACCTGTGCTCAAGTAGGAATGACAGCGACGGCGAGCTCTTGAAAGTCTCTAAGCCTGGGACAGGCGGTGCCATGAACCTCTGCAGAATCGCAGGCCCAAAGTTGACAGGATTGATTAACTTCACAGCTTGCATTGCTTCCCCTCGAGGGAGCTCAAGATGCGGTGGGCTTGGCGCCATGTTGGTTTGCCAACGTACAAGAAAAGTCTCGCCCGACAACGTGCAACGCGCAGCAGCAAAAGATGGTCAATTGGAGCCGAACAAATACAGATGACAAATCGGGCCCAGTGTCAATAAACTCGCGCCTGTGTGATGGCCAAGCAAACTAGTGTTGGGTCTAGGCCGTCGGCAAACCTGTCGGTTACCTTTGTCGGGTAACATCGCCCAGCCACGTCTAACCAACATTGAAGCCTTCCCCGGACCCCAACTTTTCCCCGGAAGGCCGTGTGCATCGTCCCCCAGGTCAGCCTGTTCAACGACCCTGGGAGGATTGAGCATAAGTATCAAGCTTTGGTACACGTAATGTTGCATTCGACAACTCAACAGCAAACACATTCGGATAAACCATGTCTGACTCTGACAAAGGCGCCGCAATTCAACACCATGAGGACATGGTTGAGGCACAGACGCAGAAGACGGTAGACACCGTCCACAAAGATGAGGCAGTCAAGGTTTTGGCAGCCTACCAGGGCGATGAGGCGTGGACTGATGAGGAAGAGAAGAGGCTACGCCGCAAGATTGATTGGAGACTCATGCCCGTTCTCTGCCTAACATACATGCTGCAGTACTACGACAAGGCCATGCTTTCCCAGGCTGTATGTGCTCCTGTTTCCAGGCCTCTGGCAGTAGCTTACTAAACCGTTATACGCAGGCCTTGTTCGGGTTGAGACAAGACCTTGGCCTCCTCACTGGGGATCGATACGCCATGTCGGCTGCAATCTTCTATCTTGGCTTCATTGTCGGTGCCTACCCAAGCATGATGCTCGCACAGCGATATCCCATCGAACGAGTCGCTTCTGGCATTGTCACAGTTTGGGGTGTCTGTCTTATCTTGACGGTGGTCTGCAAAGACTACAGAGCACTCTATACAGAGCGATTCTTCCTTGGATTTCTGGAGAGCGGCATCAGCCCTATGTTCATGATGATTGTCGTAAGTACTCGCATGCTGCCTAAGCTACCGTGCACCTACTCATTTTCTTAGGGGAGCTTCTACAAGAAGAATGAACAAGCCATGCGGATGGGGTAAGTACTTGACTCCAGCAGTACATGTACGTAAATATTGACTTGGGCAATAGCATCTGGTACAGCTGTACTGGTTACGTCTCCATCATCTCTCCCCTCGTCAACTATGGATTCGGTCTCATCAACGGAGGTGTTTCCTCTTGGAGATATATGTACTACTTCGCCGGTTCTCTCACGATCGTGTGGGGCATTGTGCTAGTCTTCGTGCTACCTCCCGACCCTATTCGAGCCAAGGGCTTCAACGAGAGAGAACGGTATATCCTTGTCGCCCGACTCAAGACAAATAACTCGGGAGTCCGGAATACTCACCTCAAGGTCGCTCAGATTTGGGAGCTCCTACTAGATACCAAGTTCTGGGCCGTCTTCGCCATCGCCTTCTTGTCGATGATTGCCAATGCTCCGATCTCGACCTTTGTTCCCATCATCATCAACGGATTCGGGTTCAGTACACTCAACTCACTGCTGCTCATGATGCCCTGCGGCCTTTATGCTGGCACGCTTCAGCTACTTATGCCCTACCTGGCATACAAGTACAAGAATATTAGGACGTACCTGATATTCGTAGCTCAATTGGGCACGGTTCTGGCATCTCTTCTACTCTGGCTACTGCCTCAGTCATCAACGGGCGCCCTGCTGTTTGCCGTGTACATTCTACCGTCTGTTGGCGGCGGCTATGCCGTACTCATGGGACTGCAAATTGCCAACACCGCAGGATACACGAAACGTTCTGTCGCTTCTTCTGGTCTCTACATCGGCTACTGTCTGGGTAAGTCACCATCCTATTCATCATGATGCAAATAAGCCGTCCTAATCCGCTCTAGGAAATTTTGTCGGCCCTTTGTGCTTCAAGAAGGAAGACGCACCTCGCTATGTGCCCGGTTTCATCGTTGTAGTCGTCACCGCCATTGTCGCTGCCGTACTGGCCATTGCATACCGCCTGATGTGTATGTGGACCAACAAGCGACGTGACAAGGCTGGAATCATGGAAGGCTTCGATCACGCGTACGAGGATGACCTCACTGATAAGAAGGTTCGTGATATAACCCTTGAGCAAGGAAAATGGCTAACATTGGACTCAGAATATGCAATTCCGCTACATTCTCTAGATATTTCCAAGGGTCAGCTCTGCCGTATTCTGTGGGGGTTATGTGTTTATTGAATTTTGATATTCGAAATCCTTTACATCTAATTCAGTTGGTTCAGTGGATAGGGCCTGGGTGGAGTGTGTGCTGATTGCTATAACTAAATCCAATCTTATTAAGCAAAACCATATTAAAATAAAGCTTTTCTTTATTTCTTTTGTGATTATGCATAAAGTAAACTGATGTGTCTGCCTATTTATTCTTGTGACGAATAAGTCATCAAGCAATAGGAAACCCTTGCCCAGCTTCTCCGGTTTGCCCTTATATGTTATTACAAACCCCTAGTTATTCGGGCATTCAACTTAGACAAAAAATTGTGTTTAAATAGCATTTTGAAAATGTTCGGGCGGTACGCCTCAAGTAAATATTTAATTTGGACAGTTTACATTAGAAGTTACACGTTTCGCCCGTGATAGTTGAATGCCTTTTAATCTTCTAAGGAGAACAATCAGCTGTAGCCAGAGGTCACCAATTAAAGAAGAATTGATAGAAGACTTGAACTCTTATTATCTAAAGAGGGCCTACACATAATCTATTAATTCATTGAATAAGAGATCCCGTGATCTGGGTTCCATCGTGTCACAATACTCGAACTCTCACACATATAGGGTAGGCTAGAGAAAAGAAGGCAAGGATTTCCGCTCGCCTGGTGACTTAATCATCACATTTAAGAGTAATTTCCCCGCTCTCCGCACCTGAGCACGTGGACACTTGCCCCGGCTTTTAATTCGGTTCCTCCGGGGCGGTTACTACAATTTAATGCATGGGGTTGCTCTCGGCTACCATCTGCCAAAACCTACATTCTCCCTCTACCATCCGGCAATGACAGAGCTCGTCGGCAACTGGCTCCATTTTGCGGCCCAACAACCAAAACGGAAGCGTGCTGAAGCCGTCTGTTTCTTTTGTCACTCTAAAAAGATCAAGTGTGATCTGCAGGTGAATTTGCCCCATGCAGTTCCGTCCCGAACGCGCCCTGACCTTGTGCGTACCAGAGCCGAAGCTCCCAAGGCCACGCACGATGCTCCAACTGTGACAACCAGGACCAAGACTGCCATCTTCGGCCGTCTAAGCGAGGCAAGCAGCGCCGAAGAGTATCCACTCAAGCAGAATGCGGTACTGAGTCTATTGTCGTTCTGGGTGGTAAGCTATGCCCTCTCCATTGCTCTCGTCAGAACCACGTTGACAACGCCAAGCGGAAGATGTGGGCGAAGACGGATCAGGACCATCTAATGATGCGACTATCGAGTTTGTAGATGAATTTGTAGATCAAGGATTGGTCGAGTCGCCGGTCTCTGCGGCTGCCCCTACGCGAGGGGTGGTATTCGCTCTGCCCCCCGCTGAGCCTCCTCCCGACGTTGCAATCACCCATCAGACCCAGTCGAGCACTTCGCCAACAGAAGGCGCCGGCCGCAGCCATGCAGGCGATGTCGATACGGGCTTCCTTCAACTCTACGGGCCCGAGAACCAACTGGAAGCCGAGCAGCAAGAACTAGTCGCAAATTTCGAGCTTCGAAACCCGGCATCAGATCCTCGACAGCAGGAGCTTCAACAAAGCTTTTCCGAAACGTACTTCGAGTACTGCTACCCATGGTGTCCTGTTCTTGATCGCCAGACACTCGAGTCTGAGCTAGAAAGGTCTCCCATGCTCGCGAATGCTCTTGCACTTGCCGCGAGCCATATACAGCCCCCGTTAATCCCACATGAAGGGCCGGCTTCGTACTACAAGAAAGCAAGAATGATGTTCTATGAGGATGAGGAGCCAGACATACTTGTGGCACTGAAGGCCATCTCTTTATTTTACTGGTGGGCACCGCGGTCCCCTGCTACAGCTCATCGCCATTCGTCTTGGTGGTGGACTTCGGTTATCATTAGACATGCGCAGCAGATGAACATACATCGTGAACCCCATGGAGAGGCAGCCAGCAAGCTCCATCTCAGCCTACGGAGACGATTATGGTGGACTGTATTTGTAAGTTTGCTGCTTGATGCTATTTGAGAATTTGCTAACGCTCGCACGATAGGCGCGCGAACGACTGACATCTCTTTGCCAGAGTAAACCCTGTATCATCTGTCCAGAAGACATGACAATCAAGGAGGTCCAACCGGCCGACTTTCCAAGCGATCCTGCATCACAGAAAAAAGGGCTCATCTTCAAGTATTGGGTCCGGCTATGTGGCATCATGGGGAAAGTCTCCCAGGCACTGTCCAAGTCGGCGGACTCGACCTCCACTCCATTCCCCACGGGATTGAGACAGGAGCTCGTTGACTGGGTTCAATCATTGCCACCGGATCTTCAGCTTCCCATTGGTTCAAGCCGTACACAATCATTTGACCGCGATGTTCATCAATTGCATCTTCCTTACCTCACAACCATCATTGTCATGCATCTCCAGAGAACAACCCCAGATCTGCCACAGGCTCTCCCGCCAGCCATCTTGGCTGCGTCGTGTATTGCTAGGGTTCTTCGAGATATTCTATCCCGTGGAAACGCACGCTTTCTCATGGCCATTACGTGCTGGTACTGCGGCACCGCCTTCATTGCTCTTCTCCAGGCGAGTCGAATTAAGCAGTTCTCGCAGGAGGCCGAGGAGGGCCTGGACATCTTGGATCAGGCGGTTGCTCAGCTTCAGCAAATGTGGGCATCTGCCAACGTTATACGGCAAGGCTTCGAACGGCTCCGGGCGTTGCCCCGTACCATGATGCACCCCGGAAGAAGCAGGGCCAGTGAGCCTAATGGACAGAGCAATGGTGGCCGAGGAGCGTCAAGCATATCGATCGACTTTGATTGGTCGCGTCTGTTCCCGTTTGTGACTAGATCAACTGGTCGGATCGCAGATTGCCTCCTTGCCGACAATGAGTTTGGTACCACTACAACCGCCCTGCCTTCACCTGAGAATGCGATCTTCCACGAAGACTTGCTCAATCGTTATCAGGATCTGTTGGAACCATTCGTTGATTATAATTTTGATTTCTCCAATATCAACTTGGACATATTGTAATTATACGTAGGGTTGGCGAGGCATCATGTCATAGATGGCAATCAGTGTATTTGTAAGTGTTTGAATGTAATTTTGAACTCAGATAAATAAATTGAATGCTGCTACATCAGCTCATCTAACTAAAATCATGGTATATGATCGATTGACTACAATCCTAACATCGAAGCGTTTCTGCCTTCTCCACATACCAAGACAGATCACTCTCAGGATCCATCTCAAAAGCCGTAAAACCGTTGCCCATGAACCTGAACGGGTTTGAAGTGTTGTAAGTGATGTCGAAATCCTCGGCACGGATATCACCGAGCATTCGATTGAAGAGATGGGCGCTACCACCAAACAGCGCCGTAACTCGTCCGTCAACCTTGCCTCTCTTGTACCAGCTGGTGCAGCCACCGCTCCAGACGAGCGTCTTGTGGATCTGGTCGCAATACTTGATGAAGGCGTCGACCTTGTCTTGCTTAGGGACAATGTGCTTGATATCCTCGGCTGCCATCTTCTTGATCCACTTGACGAAGTAGTCACCTGTCCAGTTGAGAGATTCTACGAGTGAGCCGTGTCCGCCGAGACAGTTAGGGCCCATCATCATGAAGTAATTGGGCATGGACGGTACGGCGACTGAGATGTATGCTTCAGGATCCTCCTTCCACTGTTCTCGGAGATCCACGTTGTTCAAGCCGATGATCGGATAGCGTGGTTGGAAAGAGACATCAAAGCCGGTAGCGTAAATGACTAGTTGCGAGTTGGTCAGTCTTGTAACATCCATGAGCCAAGTGAAATGGGATTTACTCACTGACGTCTACCTCATGCTCCTTGCCATCGGCAGTCCGAAGGCCATTCGGAGTCACTTGTGTGATAGCACTATCCGTCAGATGACAATTTGGTCGCAGGAACGATTCCAGATAACCAGGCCCGGGGGTTATACGACGGCAGCCCAACTCCCACTTGGGGATCAGTTTCGAGCATAGAACGGGATCATGGCCAAGCTTCTCAGCCATTTGCTCGGCCGCCATCTTCATGCCTGCTTCATTATTCTCACCTCTTCTGAAGATGTAAAAGGACTTGTTGGTTCGTGAGATGATGCCTTTACGATGTTGAAGATGAAGCTCTGGGTCTTGGAAGCGGGCTCTATCTTGTTCCGAGTATCGAGGGTTTGGGTCATCATCCTCTCTGCCCAGATGCTTCGAAGGAGGAGCTCTGTAATAGACCCACGCAGGGCCGCGGACAAAGTTGGTGACCTCGGTACCAGGCAGCTTGGCCATCTGAGGAACTATTTGGATGCCCGACGAGCCATTGCCGATCACAGCTATGCGCTTGTTGGAATAGTCGTAGTTGTGATCCCAGCTTGCTGAATGGGTCGTATGGCCCTTGAAATCTTTCAGTCCAGGAATCTTTGGCCACGACTCGTGCCTATGGGCAGTTAGCTCCGTTGCACATGGACATGGAGAGATGTATTGGACTCACACAAGTACTCCCTGGGCCGAGATCAACACATGGCAGTACTCTTCTCTCTGGATGTTTTCATGCTCTACTATAACCTTCCATTGGCCTAAGTTATCTAGCCACTCAGCCCCGATGACTCGGGTGTTGAGCTGCAAGTCACGATCAAGGTTCCATTTCCTGACTGTTGCTTTCATGTATGACAGGATATCACCTCCACTGGCATAGAACCTCTCCCAGTTGGGGTTGGGGTCGAACGGAAATGCCTGTATGTGATTAGATCAAGCACCAGCGATGAATTTGGGATTAACATACATAGATGTGAGCTGGGACATCGCATTGAACTCCAGGGTAATTGTTCGCCAGCCATGTACCACCAATGTCGCTTCGGGCTTCAAAGATGGTATGATCTACGATGTCTTCCATCTCGGGAAAGCGATGTTGAAATTTGTGTGCCATGAGAAGACCAGAGAAGCCGGCACCAATGGTGATGACCTTGATTCTGCGCGGCGTGTATGCAAACTCTTGACTGAGCTTGAAAGGATCTGTGCTATGGCCATTGGTATGGCCGTTGGTATGGCCGTTGGCTCCATTACGGATCTCATCGGTCTTCATGACGAGCTCTGGAAGCTCTGTTGCTGGCATCGCCGACAAATCATGGGCCGCTTGGGCCTTGGGCTCTGGAGATTCGTCGAAAGCAGGCATGGTAACAGATACTTGATCGCGCAAAGGGATATGTGTGAAGGTTTGCCTTGTCTCTGTCATTATGATGCATCAAACTCTCACTGGGAGACTAATTATATCTCACAAGGGACAGGATGTCACACGCAGGAGGACTACGTTCTGGAGTAGTCTACAGTGCCACTGCCCCTATCCAGTTCGGCAGAGTCTGTCTTGGGCCTGCCAGGCCTCTTCCCAGACCGACTCATAGCCAAATACTTGCCGAAGGTCTGTTCGCTATGGTGCAAGCATTCGGTAATTGAAAACTAACTTAGTCTCTGTGACTTCGGCTATCCAAATGTGGATTACCGACTCTTGGTCGAGGTCGGATGTCAGGTGCGGGGTCGGCAAACGATGTCCGGATGAGCAACAGGGCCTCTGAAACCAACTCTGCGTTACTGGGGTTTCGTCGACATGCTCGATTACTGTCTCATCATATGTAGCCTAAAGCTCGCCATTAACTATCCGGAAATGCTCTATAGTGTCGCTTACATCTTCGGTCACCTAAGCTAATCGAACATCTCTCACTCAATAATACCTAACCATGACTCTAGATCGTTACTCTTACAATGGCCCCATAGACCACACGGTCCCTCCCAAACTAGAAAATGTAAGGGGAAAGTCGGTCATCGTTACTGGGGGAGCCAATGGTATGGGCGAAGCTTTCGTGAGAGACTTTGTCGCTGCCGGCGCCTACGTGACCTTTGCAGATGTCAACGAGCAGCGTGGCCAAGCAATTGAGTCTGAGCTCAATGCCAGTGGCACAACATGCCAGTTCGTGAAATGCGATATTAGAGATTGGGACCAACAAAAGGCAGTCTTTGAAAAGGCCAAAAGTCAGAGTCCAAGCAACAGTGTTGACGTTGTGATTGCAAACGCCGGCATCAGCCGGAGCTCTGGCGACAGTTTGTGGAACTTGGACGGTGAGTGTTGACGTGCATGCTAAATTACATGGTGAGTCGCTCGAAATAAGGATCCGACTGACAGATCCTAGACCCTGATAGCGAGCCAACAAAACCCGACTTGAACATTGTTCGCGTCAACATTGACGGGACATTCTATACGTGGAAACTGGCAGTTCATTATTTCCGCAAGCAGCCGGTGAATGATGAAAGAGACCGTTGCTTCATCATCACAGGCAGCATGGTGGCGTGGATAGACTCTCCCGTAAGTAGACATCCTGACTCTGTAGCAGTTCTGTATCTGACCGAGATGCGGTAGGGTAACTGGGAGTACACGGCCACCAAATATGGATTGCGTGGCTTCATGCGGACAGTTCGAAGATCCAGTCATGAGCAATCTATACGGATCAACTACGTCGCACCATGTTGGATTAAGAGTGCCATTCGAACAGCCGAGTACGAGAAGTGGCTTATCGACAATGGGGTCGAATTTGGCGAGCAGAAGGATGTCTCAAGCTGTATGTTGCGAATTGCAACCGATAAGTCCATTAATGGTCAGTGACAATAAGATTGCAGAGGTTTTATGTTTACTGACAATTCTCAAAGGCCGTTCTCTGATGATAACCCCTCGCACAATCGCCAAAGAGGGATTTGTGGATATTGATAGAGAAGACTACAAGGACACCCCGGAGGATGAATATCTGAAGAAGGTACAGGCCTCTCAACTAGTGATCATTAAAGACAAATGGCTTGATGACTACAAGGTCAGGATATATAAGGATTGAATTGAGCATGGGACACGTACGGGAGCTTCCTATAGTGTAGCTTGTAGGATGAAATGAATAGATATGCACGTGTACTTTCTATGGAGTTTGTTTCATAACCTGAGGATATTACCACCAAGAGGTATCTTAATTATACTACTTACCTTAATCTAAGACATGTGCCCCTTGTGCTAGTAGTTCATTCGCACGCCCAGGTACTATTCAATTCAGACTGCTTCAAAACAGCCTTCTTGGGCCAAGGGCACAGAACTTGATCCATAGTGTTGTTTGTGGGCAGTGTGACCGTGACTAGACTGGACTCAGGAGCCGTGCCATTTTCCACCCATTCCTTTAATTGGTCAAAAAGGTGTACAGGTTGACCGCCGTTGCCACCCGCAGTGGCCAAGACCGGGAACGCGGTAGTAGCGGTAGAAGTCGGTAAGATTCGAGACCACTTCCGAATCTGACTCGTAGCATTGGAGAGTGCTGCCAGGTGTGATTGCGGGATCTGCCTTTGGCCAAATTAGGCCAGTCATATTCTTAGCAAAACTGGGAGGTTCGGATGTAGGGGTGACACTTACAAGGCCGTGGAAGGTAATCATCTTGCCACCGGCTTCCTAGAAACGAGTAATACGTGATTCCGCGGCTTCCAAAGATCCAGCAAAGGTCTTTTTCAGGGTGAGGTATAACTGATCGAATTGCGCGTGGGAAAGAGTGGTTACGTTTGCCTTGAGATCTCTTTCAACATATTTGAGGTACCGGAAAGCCACAGTTGATCGTCCAGCAGGAACGCATGTTTCGTTGCAAGTTGTTACAGCGGCGGTAGATAGGTCGACACCAATTTCATAGCCATGCCACATGAAGCCTCCATTATTCCGAGTAGTGGAAAGCATAGCTGCTGGTCGAAGTTGGTGAAGGTCTAGATTCTCGTAAATCGTAAGCTAGGCGTCGGCGAACCTTCTATGAGACCGGTGTAACAGTCTACCTCCGATGAGAGAGCGGTGAATATTGCGGCAACTTACATAACCGCCACGCACAAACAGCATAAATATAATATACTAAAATAAAATAAAGCAAGAATGTCCCAAACTAATACAGAAAAATGAATGGCAATATTTTCTACTTTACCTCCCGTATGCACATCCTGTTTCTCGATTGTGAACAACTTGCTCGATGGTAGTTTGCTCCGAGATACGTCCATGGCATTAAGAGGGGCATAATAGTTCGAGACTGTTGCCACGATGACATGGCCGGGTATGTTCCCTCCCACTCATGCAGCTGAAACTACAGGTGAAGCTAGGTGAAGATAATCCCACGATTGTGCCTAGCTCAGTACTTAGCACAAGCGTAACTTCAGCTTTAGCTGAATAAATGGGAGACTGTGGCTATTGGGTTGCCAATTGAATGTCACTTCTGCCGAAGTTAATCGATCGCCTGTTTGAAGCGATTAAGGCCGAGAATTACTGCACCTTTTTCAACAAATGCTAGTCAAATCAACTAAAGTGATTTATAAGCAGAGAAGACTATATCCTACAGCCTCTCTTTAGCTGATTTTGAAAGGGTCTAGATTCCTAAATATAGCAGTAACTACACCAAAGTAGCGGTGGCATTATAATCCAGGGTCCCCATGCTAATCTTCAGCCAGTTTATTCAAATTACATATAAATTATACTTTCTATAGTTAAAAAGTTAATATTTTTACTATAATTACATTCCAATTGGCAGCGACAGAGTTCAGAATCTAGTGTAAAGTTAATTGGCGTCATTCCTGTCATACGTTCGGGGAAATTCTAGTAATGGAAGATACATAGTATACAAAGCCTGGCGTAGCTGATAGAAGCAACCTAGTGCACACTGTCTTTACGACAGAGATCTTAGAGTTTAGTTCAGTCAGCTATGACTGTAGTTTATAAAGCATCTCTGCGTCCGGAGATATAATTCTCTTTCTCAATTCAATACTTCTCGCATGAACGATTCTGAAATCGAAGCCAGACCAACCTATATAATGGTGCTCTTTTTTTCATTCCTTCTCTGTCTGCTCTTCACATCTGGGGTTGTCGAGGCCATCAAGGATCAAACTTGGCTTGGACCTTCGAATGCTTTTGATGCTGGTAACTCAGAACAGCATCCAGCCTCGTCCTTCCTAATTACCTCCAAAAATCCCTCGGCATTTGATATCGATTGTAGTAGCTCTGGAAGCGATGATGGCATCCTGAAGCGGTCTATGTCAGCCACTGAATATAGCAACCTTACGGGCCACCGGATAACCCTTGAGGTTTACCAAACCAGCGACTGTCGCGACACCAACTGCGAAGGTCAGACAAGCCAAAGAATGTTATATGACCACGACGAACTATTCACCCACTCGTCTTATATTAGCCGCAAGGACCGTCTGCAGACCGTTAAGATCCAATGGAGTAGACTGGTTGATGGCATGTCTCAAGCTGAGTATAGGATCGACAAGTGCGGAGTTATTACTGGCTCTATCGATGACCGTGAGCTCACTCCTTTCACGTTCGAAAACGCGAGCCTGGCCACATTTTTAGATGGTAAACCAATTCCGCCCCTGATCCTACCAACTAGTATCAACGAAACTGTCACCGATGTGACCCTAGCTCTTTTATCCGCAATGAAACTGTGCAGCGGGACACAAAGTGGCATGCTTCATGTTGAGGACAGGTAAGTCAAGTCGATATAGTTTTTGTTTTGGCCTAGCTGACAATATCAGTCTTCTCTTAGGTAGAAAGTCTTGCCAGGAGTGTCAAAGCAATGCTGCTATTGCATCCGCTGTTTTGACTGCGGGTTGTGGAATAACCCTTTGGTGGAACCCGATCGCCTTGGTTCTTTGTATTGCGGCTGCAGGAGCAACTGGTTTGGGGTTAGTTGGGAATTGCTATACTTACCGGGCCTGTCCATGATACACTCTAGAAAGTTCGTGGTCTTAGGTTCGGAAAGTTCGAACAACTTTGTATGGCGAGACGGAGTTGGAGGGTGGGTAATATTTCTGAATATGGAGGACTTCCAGGGGCAAAAACTACCTCAGAAGAAGCAAATTTTCTAGCGTGAACTACCTTTTAGCTCCCTTCTGAAATTGTATCTGGGCATGACAGTTGGACCTGCATATGTGAGTCGTACTGGTATACGCATGTTAAGTACCGGCATTCCAAGGCAAAGCATTCGCTTGCAACCAACTCACACCACGACCCGTCAGATTCAGGTAAACTCAGCCTCCTTCACCCGTTTGACAAAGTCATCTGAAATCAGCCCTTTGGCCACGGAGGAACATGGCGACTGTGACTATGGACCGCTATTCATTGTGTTGAGTTGTCGGGCCCTGGCAGCTTCATTGTTGTTAAACTCTATTCTCTTTCTCGTGACGACGGACCGCAAAGTCTAGCCCTCCCTGACACCGCGAAAACGACGTCCGACCAAGTCGAGGCCGCGAGAACAAGAAGGTTGCACAAGAAGTCACGAAATAGGTGCCAGCAGTGCAAGCGGCGAAGGATTAAGGTAAGACTAAGATACCTTGTCAGTTACAATTGATATTTACTGAGACATCCAAACAGGTTTCCTAGTGCGATGAGAGTAAACCCATTAGCGGCACCTGCTCCCATTTATCCCAACGTTGCAATTATGATTCTTGTGGCTCACAGCTAGAAACTCGGGACTTGGAAGTGAGGAAGAGAGGTAGACCACGTAAAAATTGGACCGTCGTGTCCGTTGAGCGCAGAACTACTTCTCCCTCCGAAGTCAATACCACCACCGCCTTATCAACGTCTATGACTCTCGCACGCTCGTCAACAGATTCGTCGACATGGAACGTGGAAAGGCCCCTGCACCTACCATGGGATGCTGAAGACTTGGAGCTCTTCTTCCACTACCAGAATGAAGTCTGTGCCGGCATGGGGGGTCACGACCTACAGCTGTGGAACGACCGCATCCCCCGTCTTGCATTCCGTCGCCACGAAGTGCTGCATCTGCTTCTCGCCGTGTCCGCCATTCATCTGTCGAGACAGGAGCCCTTACGACGCGGTCGGCTCGAGGAGCGCGCAGAGGTACACCTGGCCATCGGGCTGCGTCGCACCACTGATATTCTGCCCAACCTAAGCGTTCAGAACTGCGCCGAGCTATATGTGGCTACCATCCTGGTCTGCACCTGTACCTTCGCCAAGCGGCCGGGGCCCGACAACTTGCTCGTCGTCGCAGACGGTGGCGAGGTATCTTGGTGGGATCTCTTCAGGGGTGTCCGCATCATCGTGGAGACAATCGCCATGCAGGCAGTATTCGCTGGTGAGCTGGGGCCGATGTCGTCTGACACTCAAGGTGACCGGCAGGATGGGCCTCCTTATCCTCATCACGGTTATTCTAGTGTTATACTAGATCGAGAAGACGTCCTTGATCGCTTGTCTGTCCCCATCTCTGCCATGGCTGATGAAAGTGTCAGAGGCGCTTGTCAGAGTGCACTCTGCATTATGAAGTGGTGCTTCCAAGAAGCATATGGCACGACTATGAGGCCGAAGACCACGGCTGACGCCAAGGTCAATATTATAATGGCATGGCTCTACTGCCCATCCGAGGAGTTTGTGACAAGTCTGAAAGAAAAGGAGCCGGCTTCTCTCGTTCTTTTAGCTCATTTCGCTGTACTTCTCCGGACTCTTTCTACGGCTTGGTTTATGGAAGGATGGGCGCCTCATATTTTGCAGCGGGTATGTGAGATTCTCGCGCCAGCCTGGACTGAATGGGTGAAATGGCCCCCCCTTCAAATCAAGGATTTTAGCACATTATAGACTTCCTGAGAGGCATCTAAAAGGCAGGCGTATGATTGTGAAAGCAGAATTGAAGCACTCCCAATCTATTAGTAATCCGGATGAACATGCTTACTGAAGCACAGGGTCTATCTACCGGTCTCGTAATCGTCTCTTGTGAAGCAGCAACAACTTATCACGTGGTTCACACTGCCTTATTCAGGTATTGTCATGTTTTCGCTGGCGAGGATGTCACTGTGTTATGATAAGAGCAATTTCCTCAGCAATACTGTTAGAGTTTATTGTCACAATGTAGGCACGAGCTAATACCCTACGTTTCCGCTTTTCCTTCGTAGCCGCGACATAATCAAAGAGCACTCCTCATCCAATCCAAGGGGTGAGACGAGCTTGCTGATGTGCGATGGATACTAAACGGTGACACCGTTGACTTGGGCCCTCTAGATTCCGTGCGTCAGTCACAGAGGAATTTAGCCAATGATTAGAATAGGATAACCTATCTTAGCATACCTTGACATTCAAATATGTCATCCCGAGTGTCCCACTAGCTGGCGCAAAGAAAAAAGACTGTGATGGTGCCTAAATGTGCACATCCTTGTATCCGCCTGTGTCATAATCCCGCTGTCACATCTGAGAGATGGCCAAGTGTAACTGGCAGTTGCTACATCAAGCTCCGTTGCACTCCTTCCGGTCAAAATCTCTATCTGCAAGTCACCAACTGGTGGCCATTTCTACCACCTTTGCGAATTTGGTACAGCTCGTATTCGAATAGACAAGGAGCATGTGACAGCTATATTATTGTGGTAGCTCGATGTGTGCTTCGAGACTCTCAACGCGTATTTCCATGTATCGTATTGTCCCGCTCTAAATTTCTAGTGCTTACATTTGTAATTTCAGCCGCTTGAGTGCCATCACCGCTGCAGTCTTTGCTTGTAATTGATTGATTACTCAGGAATGCACGTCAGCCGTCCTTCGCCCCTTATATGCGGGCTCCACGGAGATGATGGGCGAATCTTCGCCGAGTTACACTGTCTGCCGTTATCTTGTTTATTAGTTTAACGCCCTCTTGTGAAGGCTCTTGCATTGAAGTCTGCAGAATTGACTCGCTTCAAATTACGCCATCCTGACCATAACTCACTTTTTCACATTGACACGTTCTGACATGCTTTCCCACCCACGGCATTGGATTCGTTAGAAAGTTCAAAGTGGTTATCTAGATGGCTGCTAGTGATTGATTCCATCCCACAAAGTCACATCGCTATGATTTATGTTGTCAACCCTGGATGAGGGAGAGAATCACGCCCGAACGTGGATTCTTGACAAGTAACGGAGAAGCCCGTCGCCTGTGGACTTTTTACCCAGTACGTTTCTATTACTTTATGATGCCGAGGAAAGTGTTACACCGCATGTGCTAAATCATCATGTGGTGCGTGCTATATCACGACTAGCATGGTGAGTGATCTCTCTCGAAAGAGCCGTGAGTAAGGCATCTGACATGGACTCACCGGCACTCCGCTAGGGACCATTGCCTGAGTTGTATGCGAATGTGAATGTGGCTTGCATTATCGAGCCTTCTGATCACAATCCGCACAAGCCGGGAGCCTATCACTCTCGTGGGGCTTCTTTGCTCTTGTCCCGTCGGAAGAGATTCGACGTCAGCTCATAGCCTAAAATGCGGTCTGACAGCCCCGAAAAGGCAAACCCACCCAACTTTCCTATATTCCGTAGCAGCTGAAAGCCCCAATATTGACACCTGAAGAGGGTTGCAGCGGGTTCATACGTATTCTGCGGCTTGCCGATCACCTCGGTATTACGGAATCCCTTGCCGGACGAGATGGTCTGCATGCTGACCCTCAGAAACATACAACTCTTGTTCTCAACCACACTATATACACCGCTCATCGATCACAAATGTTCAACAAGTGAGTGGCTAACTCGAAGGGAAATTGCTACCAATGTAGAAATTATATATATAATAAGAGTTTACACAGAGGAAGCTAGCTATATCTATATTCCTGGAAATTCATAGGATAGCTGGCATTTTTCGTGTATAATCTAAACCGTTAATACAGCTATCTTAGCGCTTTGAAGAGATGTATATAGGCATTTGAAGAGTTGAGTTACTACTATAAAAGGTCCCCCTTATAGCTCCAAATACAGCTGAAAAAACTATCAAGTAAAAGGGCTGAATATATTATATATAGCTTTTATAATAAAATCAAATTTTATTCTCTCTATATTGATTAGGAGCTTTAAAAGCCTTATAGTATCTTATATAAGTAGTTTAAGTAATATAGACTAGTTAGTTTACATTACTATCTCTCCCTACTCTATATAAAAGCTAATAATATATAATTATAAGTCTAGATTAGCTAGCTAATAGCTTCTAGCAGTATAGATAAAAGATAATTTTTTTTATTAGTTTTACTATAAATAAAAATATATTCTAAGATCAGATAATATATAATCTAATATATATTATTTAAAAATATAATTAATAGTTTATATCTAAACTTTTAATACTATGAATATAGTTAGTAAATAACTATATTAGATTATTTTAGATAATTATTATTATTTTAAGAATTTTATTAGAAGTATTAATTAGACTTTAAAAGATTAGAATATTTATATTAGATATTATAATTATTTAAGATATTTAGTAATTAATTAATTAAGTAATTAATAGTAAAATATAAGTAATTAATTAAATATAATAAGCTTTAAATTAGAAAGAAAAGATAGTTATTATTATTAAATAATAAGTTTTCTCCCTTAGAGACTATAACTATAACTAGGGTATTTATATATCTAGCTATACTATATAAATATCTTCTATTATTAGAGTTTTTATAAAATTAATATCTATAACTGGGCTAAAAGTATAAAACTTAAAATTTATTTTATAATATTAAAAGTTTAAATATAAACTACTAATTATATTTTTAAAAAATATATAAATAGATATATTATAATAGCTATATCCGTATCTCTAGTTAGATCTATAGGATCTAAGTAGTTATTATTTATATAACTGCTTAGAAACCTGGTTTATAACTACCTTAGGAAAACTAGTTAGTTTTAGATAGAAATAATAATAACTATATATTATATCTTACTTTGTTTATAATAGTAATTAATTACAGAGACCTTCTAATAATATATTAGATTATATATTATCTAATCTTAGAATATACTCTTATTTATAATAAAACTAATAAAAAATTACTTTTAATAATATATTTTTATTTAAAGAAATTCTAATTATTTAAATTCTTTAAGATATATAATATTATAGATATTTTATTTCTTTTATTATAGAAGTTAATTTAGATATATAGATATTTTTTTATTTAATATTTATTTAGATAGTTCTAGCTATTTTCAAAAAGTATAATTTTAAGATTCTTAATTATTAAATTATATACTATAGATAGATAAAAATTATATAGTTATATTTATTTAAATTATATATCTCTAAAGCTTTTAGAGGGAATTATTATATAAATTACTATAGGTTACTCTTTCAAACCTAATAACCTTCTAATCTAGGAAAAGAGGTATATTTATAGTAAATAGTCCTCTTTCCTAACTAATCAGTCTGAAGTACACAATGCCTCAGCTCCAACAAGTGTTCTCTATATAAGTCTCACCCCCATCCGGCCGATCATAGCAAAGAGTGATGATGCTAATTCTTGGCGAGTATATTGAAGCGCAGCTGTCGCCACTATCTTGCTCCGGTCGTGCGTGACTGTCCATTTGATGCCAAGACTTTGGCGCACGGGTTATCCGTCCATGAGAAGCTGGTTACCACAAAGGCTCAAATTGAAGCGCAACTCACTTTCGGGTTCTCCGCGAGGGCCCTGCGCGCGCCGAATCCAAAGGTTATTGCTAGTATTACTTCACTAACCGCTAGGCTTATGGGATTTTTCACAATATTTTCTGAATGAATTCGCTGCATGCGTTTGGAGCCCTACATTCTAGTATCTGAAGCGGACGATAGAAAAAACTAGTAGCTAAATGTTACATGATGATCTGACCTAGGACACCGTTGCCAACGAATCCTAGATCCCGCACTACCGTCTGTATAACATTAGCGATAATTGCCTCCTGGAGTAGTAACACCCATGATGGCAGGGTCCATCATTTCTAAATCTATGGCGTTCTAAACAGTTCGTCCAGGGTTGGCCTTGCCCTACGGAAGTAAGATAGTTGTATTTCTAAATGATAGAGAGGATTAATAGCAGTGAAGTGAAAGGAATTTACTCATAGAACACAACTATGCCACCGATATTTTGACTGATTCTTGATACTTACGGATCGGAGAGGAGGGCTGCCTCAAAGAGGCCTACCAACGGAGCGCCCTGACGCCCCACGGCAAGCTCGGCGACTCGGAAGCCACTCACAACTGTCCTGTGTTTATTGTTCAACCAGAATGAAGAATTATCAACTATCATTTTCGTGGGAGAAAACATACCACCTTATTCTTCGAGCAATTACTGCAGGCTCTGCCATCTGCAGCATAGACCAATTCCCACCTAGTGGCTGGTCCCACAGCGTTTACCCATGGCTGGCAATGAGCTCGACTTTTTAAAAGTCGGGGACGTGGCCGAGCCTATACCCCAAGGACTCAAACAAGCCAGACTTCCAAGAAGGTCATGTCGCCTACAATGCTGGTCAGCTCTAACGCTAACTAGGAAATCGTCAGCTCCAGCTCATCGCCATTGGCGGCAGCATAGGCATTGCCCTCTTCGTCTCTATCAGAGGCGGCCTTACACATGGTGGTAGCAGCCGAAAGCTGCTGCCGCCGCAGAAGCCTCTGGTGGCATAACACGCGACTTCCCTGGACGTAGGAGATGACACGACAACTTGCAGGATGTTCATATAGAGTAAATACCTAGCCTATGAATTAGTACAACAAGTATTTCTTCCGTTTCTCCCTAAACACGTCCAAGCGCGGCAACCATGCGTCGCGAATTTCCTCAGGCGTTAGCCCATCCTCGATTCCTTCCCTGATGAGCGGCGACCCCGTCAAGAGATCCACATTGTACAATGACCCATCGGCCTTACTGTACACCCAGTGGAAAGCTCCCGTCGTCGGCTCATCACCCGTCGTGTTCTCCACAGCGTACAGCTTCCTCGCTGTATAGAGCAGGCTTACTCCCACATATGGCGCGTCAAACTCCTCAAGCTCTTCGACGGATCGCAAGTTTGCGTATGTCTGCAATCCGCACGAAACCTTCCCCTGGAATTCATTCGCCGTGGGGGTGAAGCACTGAAACCGATATTGTGTATTCGCAATATTCAACTCCCTCATGGCCGAAACCCAAGACTCGTTCCCCCACGGCGCACCTAGCAGCTCAAAGGGTCTCGTCGTGCCCCTTCCTTCCGAGAGACTGACGCCCTCAAACATACATGTTCCTGGGTACAGCATCGCTGTATCCATCGTGGGCATATTTGGACTAGGCATCACCCAGGGCAAGCCTGTATCATGGAATGTCATCCAACGCTGCCAGTTCTCCATTCGAATCACGTTCAGGGAGAGGGAGGACCCGTCAGCAGCTTCACTGATCCAGCCTTCGCCTATAAACATGTGGGCGAGCTCGCCAACGGTCATGCCGTGAGATTGGGCGATGGCGCGGCGGCCGACGTAGGAGGTAACGAAAGATTCATTAAGGACGGGGCCGAAGGCGTTAAGGCCGGTGGTGGGGTTTGGACGGTCGATGACGACAAAGGAGACATTTCTTTTGGCCGCTGCAATCATTGTGTCATACATAGCCCAAACATCTAGATCTGGTCAGAATTATAGCACGGAAACGGAAACGGATCACTTACACGTATAGAACCGAGCCCCCACATCTTGAATGTCAAACAACACCGTATCTGCCCCTGAGTCTTCGATAAACCCCATCAGCTCCGTCGTGTTCGCCAAATACGCATCATATACCGTCAGCCCCGTCTTCTCATCCACAAATGTGCCTTCAGCATCTCCAGCCTGCGCCGTGCCACGGAAACCGTGCTCAGGTCCCATGACCCCCACCAGGTCTACCTTTCCGGATCGGATCATTACATCCACTCCGAGGTCCAGCTGCGGGGTGACGCCGGTGGGATTAGTGAGTATGAGGACCTTCTTGCCAGCAAGCTGGGCATAGTTGTTTTCAATAAGGACATCGAGACCTGTCTTAACGTGCCTGCTGCAAGTAGCGGCTGCCGCCGTGGCGACCACTAATAGTGAAAGCTTCATCTTGGATCCTTAATTCCCTCTTGAAGGTTTGCTTGACTTGAAGGGGCTCGATGCCTTAAACAAGGTCAGACATATATATATAGGTAGGAAACTAGCTTACGTGATAAAAAAAAAGGTAATAATAAAAGAGTCCAAAGATGGCTAGGTAGCTATTTCGAAGCCATACCAACCTCGGAAATCGTAACATTTATTAACGAACTGTATCACCAAACCAGCCTCCACCCCACTGTCCCAACACGTCGGATTGCTTGGCGTTGCGGGGTTTGAAGGTCAGGGTTCGTCGGATGTGGAGAACCTCCAGCTGGAGTTTCCCGTCGGAAAACCCGACAACAGGAACTGCTATGGGCAGCGGGCGAAGGAGCCGGACCATGAGTGGGATGTCCCGCTGGCATTCCTTTGAGCCGAGCTTGGCGCAGGAGCACTCTTGATACACTGCTGTTTACTCCCACGCTTCCGGGTTGTGCTACCGTTATTCGTGCGTTTTTGCGGTTGCGGTTGCTCTATGCAGTATGTGCCCCGAGGTAACTGGTGACGCCTTGTTCTGGTCTTCACTTTTGCCCTTCGAGTCAGACGAAGAGGCATGATTCGAGGAATATCTGATGAATGGTGACGGAAAGCGCCTCAAAAGAGCCAAAGATACGCTCCTTGTTCCCAAGATTTCTTGAGAGCGATTTAACGAAATCTCAAACTGGAGAGGCGGCGGTGGAAGGGGGCCGGTCCTCAAGCGCCTTGAAGTCTAGACAGGAGGCTATTCTAATTGGTGTATCCCTATGACCATACCTTTGTATCTTCACTTTTCGGCATAGCGACGGTGTTGGGACTTAGTCGGGTGTGCTGTCGTTTTGACAAGCTTGTGACGGGACGCTCGGTGGCGTAACACCTGCTGTTCCCTTGGTCGATGACTACAACGATGCCGAACAAACCGCCTTACCCTTCTAGGGTTAGAATCGTATCCCATCCGAAGCTTTAGCTTGTTCCTCTCCAATAGCCTATCATATGAGAATATAGTGGCGCACCTCCATCATACTAAAATATCACATGATCACTGAATAGAATTTAGAGAAATCATATGTCCGCCATCTTACTTAAACTCTATGCAGGGTATAATTACCCCATACTTCACGCTTTGATCCTATTCGCAAGAAGATCATCAACAGCTTGCATCCTGCCTCAGCTCCACTTCCAGCTAAATTCCGAGGGAATAAGATGTAGCCATGCGGCGCACCTGGTATAATACTAAGGGCCGACTCGCCACCTGACGCTAGCTACCTCGAATTCATGAACAAAGTATCATCCAAGAGACAGTTCTCAGTTCCGCATGTAAAGTGGGCCGAGGGCAGTCTTCCCCTCAATTGCTCTAGGTCCGCATAGGGAGGCTGACATGTGGATCCTTGAGTATCTCTAACGACCATCCAGGCACGAATGCGTCACGGAACTCGTTCATCTTATCATGGCCAAGGACTAGAGCAGGTTTTCTATGCCCATAAGTATATACACTCGGCATCCAATCCAAGCTATATCATCCTATGTAGCATAAGGCCTCTGAGGCGGAATTCTGGGAATTCAGACTTATTGTGTTGTAGCAAATGGAGAACTAGAAGCATTGACAAGTGCGCGCCTGCAGATTCCCCAGCAATGAATCCCAGCGGGGCATTGAAGGTGGTATCTGCGTTGGATATCAGCCACTCTGCCGCGTCGAAGCAATCCTGAGGCCCTGCGGGGAACGGATGCTCTGGTGCGAGCCGGTAGCCGATGGAGATACAAAGTAGGCCGTGATCGTTGGCTATAGCCTGTAGCCTGGGATCTTGTAACGTTTCGTCCTGCAATACCCAGCCACCACCATGGGTGTGAATGAAAACGGCGCTCACAGGTTTGCTGTTTTGCGGTCTGAGGATACGGCGTGGAACGAAGCGACCTGAGTCGCGAGAAGGTATTTTAAACGCGGTTGCGGAGGGGAGGAGGGTTGGACCAGGAAGCTCCGTTTTGCCGGCAGCGCGTAGGCGCGATACTCGGTAGCTCCAGTTTCCTTCCACCTGGAAGCTCTCAGAGCGAGTTCAAGGTTTTGATTGAACGCCCTAGACTCGGAAGGATGGCTGAAGGATCGAAGCATTCTGGATGCAACATGCGAAGATCAAATGGAGACATTCTACCAGGACGAAGCTTGACGCTAGTAGACGGATGCTGTGCTCGCAATCCTATTTATACTTCGTAATGCAAAAAAGCCCCTGAGAACACTCGATTGTCATTCGACGACATCTTCCGTTGAAAAGTGGCACAGCTGGTCCAGGGATCGCAATCCGACCAATGAGATAGTTTCATCTTGCATATATCATCGGATCCGACCCTTGATCTTTGAGGCCAGCTGAGCTGTTCTGCCCCCAGCACAACTTTGTCAGGGGTCATTCTATTGCTGAAGACGTTGCATTTATGGAATTGAGATATGGCATTGAGTATGTGCCTCTAGAAGGAACCAATATAGACGTCAGAGCAACCGATTATGCCGGCTGTGCAGACATGTGATACTTTCTTGCAAAGATATTGCGAATAGTATATGGTGGAACCATTAGCTTGTGCTGAGGCCGAGAAACTTTCAAAAAAAAAAAAAGAAGAAGAAGAAGAAGAAGAAGAAGAAAAAAAAAGGAGTGCGTATTTATAACCGAAAAAAAGTGTGTATTTATAACCCATCCTAAAACTCTCCGGGGGCTTTGGCCGTGCAATTGGTGAGGAAATTTGCTTCTCATAAGTAAAATCGATGTATTAGCTACGTTGTTAAGTTGTCTGGGAATTTTAATTGTCCTTTGTCTTCTAACTAAGGAAGCTTTCCAAGTACAAGGAACGCCGTTTTCTGGCGCCCACGATCGAGTGTCTGGGCACTAGTCGAGCGAAGTCGTTGGCCTTGGAGGAGCGTGAGGAAACCCCCGTTTCTAGCTTTGATAAATCACTACGCCGTGTAACCACTCGTGATCTGGTTTACTTGATTGACCAGAGCCTGCACTTGAACGCCTAAAATATAGTACATATCAGCGTTAAAATCCTTCAAAAGCAATAAAACAAATCAACGCACCTCCCTTCTGGTCAGCATTCGATCCATACCAGCCGATCCAGTCAAAACAAGCATTAGGGTTATTTAGGATAAGTCCACCCCAAATTGGATGAACCGAGTAGTCCGTCTTGGCTTGCGGATAATGAATGATAATGTTGTTTGTATCTGGAGTGAAATTGCCTTAGTCAAAGGACGAAGTGGCTAAACAGAGAAGTAATCTGGTCTTACCTGCCCATTTGTTGTAGCCACTATTGTTGATGAACTTGGCTCCAATCTGGCCGTAACTCTGCGCGCATCCATGGAGAGCCACGTGCAGTTTGCATACACTGGAACCACCCTGACAAGCCTGTGGGACATAGATATATCCAGTGCTGTCCATTCCAGGGGCGCCGTAAGCGCCTGCCTGGGAGAAAGACAAAAGTGTGCCAGAGAGTTGTCCGTTATTTCGGGGCTCGAGATCACCGTACATCCACTTCAAGACTGCGCCCGCACCATCATACCCGCAATTACCGATGTAAGGAGATAGGGTTTCTCCACAAGCATTGTTGCCGGACCCATCGAAATCTGTAGGAAAAACGTGAGCTGCTCCAACGGTCGTGACGAATGAGACCCTGGATGGATCATCAAAATTGGCCAACTGTGCCTTGAGCTGATTCATAGGCTTGGGTCCTACGGTTCTGTCAGCCGATCCGACCTGCATATAGATCTGGCGACTCTGGAGGTTGGCGAGAGGATCAATTTGGTTCCCGCTCCACGATTGCATATTAGCCACGGGCTTTGTAATGGATGGGTTCTGATTGTTCATGCAGCTGCTGTACTGTATCACACAGAAATATTAACATGACTATAGTCCACACAAGTGCTAAGCACATCTGATATCTTACCAGTTGGTTGCGCGCGCAATCATATGGGCCACCAGCAAAAATGCCAAATCCTGTCTTGAAAGTATCGGAGTAGGCAACGCCCAGCTGTGCCGCCATGAACCCTCCGGCGGAGAGTCCAGACACCGACACGCTGTTGGGGTCGACGTTGTAGGCGCCGAGCCCAGCTGCCAGCGTACCAGATACAACAAGGCTAGCTAGGCCTGTCATTACAATGAGGCTCGGCATGATGAGAAAGATCAAAATACGAAAATATCGGTTTTGAATGCTGTGGGAGAGGATTCCTTTGGAAGTAAGAAATCTTTACGATGGTAGAGGCCTCGGGTTTCATTGCGGGAGGAAGGGTCTTGGGTTATATATCTTATTCTCGAGATATCACACCGTCGGTTAGTGAGAACCAAGGGGTACCTAGACATATGCCGGTTCCGATGATGAGATACTCGTGACTATCCTAGAAGGCGCAAATCCGGGCTTCGAATTCAATGGAAACCAAATCCTCCCCCTCTGAGGTAGTGATTCCCCCTATCGCATGATTGAGTTGCATCAGAGTCTCTGCGAAAGCTGACCACCTGAATGGCGCAAACATGCGGGGTGATCTGTAAAGTGAACCCGGAAGCGAATTTGCGGGGTAGACCTGACTGGCTGCAGGTGTGTGGTCGCATTGAGCTCCAGGGGCCATTCATGTCGTCGCAGTCGTGTTCAGCTCCCGGAATGGCCATACATGCCAGGTGGTTGTTTTTAGGATGGCTATCCGTGGATGAGTGCTTGTCCCGAACCAACATGGATGAAACGGATCCGATTTCCGTCTCTCGGAGCCAAAAGCCCATGTTGGTCGCAACAGTGCTTACTCAAATACGAATGTAACTATGCGTATACGGACAACTCCTCGGTTCCGATTCATACTAGTACCTAATAGAAATGTAAGCACCTGGGGTCTGGATTTCTTAGCATCCTAAACGGGTGCGATAGTGACAGCTGTTTTCAGAACACGACGGGGAAAGGAGACGTTTATAACTTCATGATCTGTCGCCTCTTTCACTCCCTTCAGCTCAGACCACCACCATCAACATCTCTCTCATTAATCAAATTTCACCACCCCAATATCTTAGCCTTCTTCCAGCATGTCTGACAAGGCGACGCCACATAGTGCACCCGGCAAAGATCCCTTCGGACAGCATGTCGAGGTCGCAACCCCCTGCAATATTGGAACTACCGAGACTGCCTATATTGCGTGCATTGAAGCCTTGAGTCCCGAGGAGCAAAAGAGAACTATTCGTCGTGTTGATATCCGCCTGGTTTCGACACTTGGATTTCTCTACTGCATCTCCCTTATGGACAGAAACAACACCGGAATTGCAATGATAGCGGGAATGAGCACAGATTTGGCCATGACAGGAAATCGCTACTCTGTCGTTGTGCTTTTGTTCTTCATTCCCTACGTGCTCTTCCAGCCACCATCGACCGCCATCCTTCGCAAAGTCGAACCGCGCCTTTTCCTGTCGCTCACAACGCTTGTATGGGGCTTGACGACGATCGCAAGTGGCCTTGTTAGGAACTGGAAGGAGCTCATTCCCCTTAGACTTGTTCTTGGAGCTTGTGAGGCTGGATTCTTCCCAGGCGAGTACATATCAATAAAGAAACATGTCAAGGTGGTGGAGACGCTGAACGATGCCAGGCTGTGCATACATCCTTAGTTGTTGGTATCCCAGATATGATCTGCAGAAACGAAATGCCGCCTTTTATCTCATTGGGACAACCATATCCGCATTCTCAGGTATACTCGCGCTCGGTTTCTCGCAGCTGGATGGCTATGGCAGTGGTCCGACCTGGTGGGGGCGAGTCCGAGTTGATGGCCACACTGGTGACGTGAGTATAGAGAGCGGTATATCGGGATGGAGGTGGATTTTTATACTTCAGGGTGTGCTCACTTGTGTCGTAGCTGGCGTCGCCTACTTTACCGTTCTGGGCTTCCCTGACGCCATGAGCAATGTTTTGGGCCTCAAACTTAGCAAAAGAGAAGCAGACTTTATCTTGGCAAGGATCGAACTGGATAGGAAGGACACCACGGCTGAACGGTATAAATTCTTCTGGCTCCCTAAACTTGGCTTTGTTGCTAACTTGGAACTCACAGCTTTTCTCTTCGCGAGTATATCGCAAATGCTTACGACCTCAAGATATGGGGCTTCGCCGCACTCTTTGGTCTCACCACCATCAACACTTACGCTATTGCATACTTTCTTCCTTTGATTTTGAAGGATGGCCTAGGATTCAGTGTGGCCGTGTCTCAGTGCCTTATTGCGCCTCCCTACATTGCAGCAGGAGTAGCTATGTATACAATGGCGTACCTGAGCGACAAATATCGGGTTCGTTCTCCATTTATCGTGTTCAACGGCTGCCTGCTTCTTATTGGTATAATATCCGACTCTTGTAATACCTGAATCGTGCCAGGGCTAACTCGATTCTGAAGGTTTGCCCCTCCTGGGCTTTGCTACCAATGTGGGCGCTCGATACTTTGGTGCTTTCATTACCACCGCAGCTTGCAACGCTAATGTCCCCAGCATCTTGACTTGGCAAGCCAACAATATTCGTGGCCAATGGAAGAGAGCGTTTTGCTCAGCAACTCTAGTTGGAACAGGCGGTATCGGAGGTATCATTGGTAGCACTGTTTTTCGTAGCCAGGATGCACCAGGCTATCGACCGGGAATCTACGCCGTTATGACGGCTAGTGGTATGATCATTCTAATCACCCTATCGCTGGATTTTAAGTTCGTCAGAGCGAACAAGCGCGCTACGGCTGGTGGTAAGGTTATTGGAGGGTTAGAAGGGTTTCGATATACGATTTAAGCAAGATTAGTGAGGTTGGGACATCCTCTTATCCCTAGTTTGTTTGCCTGGATACGGAAGAGAAAGAGAATAGAGTTTAACAACAATGAAGCTGCCAGGGCCCGACAACTCAACACAATAAATACGAGTTTGCCTGGATACATGCTATGCCATTGCCATATTGAGCACCCTAAGTCATCCTAGAGAGCGGAACACGGATATAGAAGTCTAAGACAGCCTTTTCCGTGATCGCAAAGCTGGACTTTACTCCTGACCCCTTTTTAGGTTCTGGCTTCAAATAATGAACTTTCCTGGCGTATTTCTGCAGCAGTCTCGATCAGCTAGGCTAAATGAAGCGCCAGAATCCGCACAGAGCGAAATAGCTCCTTGAATTGCTAATCATCAACTAAGTGGACGCCATTCCGCCTAAAACTCATTGCCCCACCTTAGCAAATGTGGACAAGCTGAAGATCACCATCAATAACGAAAACTGTGTGCAACTATGAAGATAGAAAGACACCAGGAAGTATCGTAAGCTCATACCATGTAGGCCAGACGCCGTCCCTGTGTTCCCGCCCCGATTAGCGCAATGGAGAAGTTTCTGGGGTTTACTGGCTGCTGCAACATGTAGAGGAACAATCGAGTTGAAATCAAGATACCAAGTGGAGGATTACAGTCTGCGCTCATGCTTATCGAAACATGAAATACCTATAGAATGGGAAAGACTTGAAATTTCACTATTTACACTATATCATAGTCGTCCTCGGATCCGATCATCCATTTCTCAGGAGCGTCCAACTGTCATTCGTGGCGGGGCTTTTACTGTGCCGACGTGAATGCCATCAGGTCCGATAGCCAAGTGCAGTCTCAATTCAGTCGCCTAATTTTTTCGTCGGGCATGGTTTGATCCAACTTATACAAGTCTCAAAGGTTGAGCGAAAGCAATTGTTCCATGTTGATACATTCAACTGGTATCAATAATTATATTGCACTTAATTTTCAATCCCGAAATCGCTCCATTCGCCATGCAGATGCGACGTTAACTCCTCCCAGTACGGAAGTTGTATTCCCTCTAGGATCTCATCTGGCGTTGCTGAGGAAAACATTTGTCGAGCTGCTTGAACGGACTTAGAGCTCTGGGGGAGATGTTTCAAAGTAGACTCCAAAGTTGAGAATAAGCTGTCGTATGACTCCTGTGTGATCTTTTTATTTCTAAAATCCCGGTCGATGGCTTTGCGCATGAGTTGCACACCCGCAAGAACATGATGCGGATAAGGGTCAATGGCGATGAGGGAAACAGTAAACATCATATAGCCTTTCGTCCCGCTTTCATGAGTCAGGTCAGGTGAAGGAGAATCAATGGGTCTTCTCAAGGTAATGGTATTATGAAGACCAATCGCCAGTGCATTCATGACAGTATTCTCTGCTTCAATGCCAGCCTCTTCGAGATCGTCGAGTAAGTCGTACCGAGCTACGACTTCTATCATATCCAACACCATCAATATGCTCAGGTTATAGTGAAGCATGAGAGAGACTATCAATAGTTAGCTAAAAGAAATTGGTATACCAGTCGAAACATACCTACACCAACGAAGCTTTGTTTGCTGGCCAAGGAAATGCATGCGCTTGTAGCATTCATCAAGAAAAGGACGAAAGGTGGTATCAAATTCCTTAATGGAATTGCTGACAGCAGAGACTGCCTTTTGAACCTCGGACTCATCGTGGCCATCTCTGAGGACTTCCTTGAAAACCGCAGCCAGTTTCCAACCCAACAGCTTCCAGCAAGCGGCGGCCGCGATAATCTCATTGGCTCTTTGGTCTGTCATCTCACCACTACCAAGGCGCCAACCTTTTGAAGATTCATTGAACACATTCAAGCAAGTTCGCACTAGCCTCCAGGTAAGTTCGGACTCAAAACCAAAGAGCCCGGATGAGAGGAGTGGCCTGCAACTGAGTGTGAGAGATGCTGATGTGTCGAATGTGATTGCTGCCCAGTAGGCAATATTTTCGGCATTAATGAAGCTATAAGTGGCCGCAGACTCTATAGTGGTGCATACCGAAGTCGAGGTCAACGACAGGGATACCTTTGAGCCATTGAATTGAATATTTCTTTGCCGGGCTCGAAGAGACTGGACTTGTTGTAAAGCCGCGTGGACGCAAGTCTGGCCAGAGATACCATCGGTCTCCTCGTCTTCCGAGATACCTATCGGAATTGGAGTTAGGGAAAAGAGAAAAAGGGACAACATCGATCGATACGAGGGACGATTGATGATTCTCAGCATATCTCTTCGAGCCTGTCGCCACATAGTCTGCATTTCGTTCGCGTTACTGAGGTCGACTGAGCCATCTGGAGAGGTGATTGGTAACCATCTTGTGGCAAACGCAGCAATCGTGTTGCGCAGGGATTGTTCAATCAAGACATCCCGTTTCTTGCCTTGCGGACTCCCCTGTTCCTGGGCCGGGCTTTGGCTCTCTTTAGACGAATTGGCCATATATCTGTCGAGGTAGCGACATAAATCTGATATGCTGATGTACCGTTCGGCGAGGTCGTCTTGTCCAAACCTATTGCGGCGAGTTTAGATAATCCTGGAACAACCGCGCTTGTGCTGTGGACTTACAAGAAAGGGCAGCTATATCGGCCCATCCAAGAGCCAAAAACGATCTCGAAGTTTTGTCTGTATAGGGTCTGAAGCCATTCAAAGTGAGAGTCGCTCAGTGGGTGTATCTCAGAGTCTGAGAGGGCGGACAGTGGCACCAGAGGAGCTTCTTCCAAAGGCTCATGCCCGGAGTCTTGCGTAGGCATGAGTTGGCTTTGCTGAAGATCATGGCTGCGGATGTTGATTCGAGTCTCCGCCGGGGTAATTGCACTGATTGACTCCTCGGTTGATGCTTGATCAATTAGGTGATGAGAGGTTCGCTCACACCGACCTCGTGCTCCTGACGGAGTTGCATGTTTATTAGAAGCTCCCGCCTTGGCATCCTGGATCCACTGTATATGATGATCAGATTCCACCTCAAGAACTTCATCTTGATCTTACCTTAAATGTGCAGGCTCGATTCCGGTTTAGGCAACGGGTACAGGGACCAGATAGCTCAGCAACAACATTACGACGGCTCTGTGCATCGCAAGCGACTCGTGACCGGCGACAATCATCACAACTCGAAAATTGGGTACGACGGGTAACGAGGCGGTCCGGCATAATCGGAAACTGAGTCGAAGTGGGCTTACGGAAGCAACTAAGAGATACAACTCCACAGCGTGATACTTAGGGATCGGATCCGTATGGAGATTGATGGGATCCAGGTTTTACTCGTGTGGGCTATTGGGGTTACTTGTATTATAAAAAGGTAGAAGTTGAATTCACCCAGCCTACGGCACTCTAAAGTGCGGGGTAACTGATCCTAATTATAGAAAAAATGGAGAAGATCTGGATATTTGAGCAGGGAAGAAGATGACTATTTAGCTGTGGCGTTTTACCATTAGTTTTCCGCATATGACCACTGGGGACGGAAACCTGCCGTCAGTGAAGTGAACTCTAGGACAATAGAAAATGCCCATAGAAGTGAATTTTGCAACATATGCCCTCTCTCGTCTAAATCACCTCCTCAGGACGAATGGACTATCACAAGGTCGCAACAATGCAACGTAACTGGAACCCCACCCTCTCCTGACCAATCGCTGCAAAGACTGAGTTGTCCACGAATAACCTATTTTGAACGCATCGGATCCGACGATCGCTGCCGTCACCGACCGTTAAGCTCAGGTCACCATCACACTCCAGACAACCCCCCCTTCAGGACGTGAAGGTGGGCGGCGAGGAATTGACAAGTATCTTATAGTCAAGAGCATCCTGATTCATGTGGTAGATCTGGCAACTGCATAGATGGACTACTGGCCTTATCGGTCGGTACTGTATTGTTTGTCGATCCGGGTAGTGGGACAGAAGTTTTCGCTATGCTAGTCAATCAAATTGATATATCCGCCATATTATGAAAGAACTCCCATTCTTTGTGGGTTGAGTATGTGATAACATTCAGTGCAGTAATTGATCAAAGGTCACCAATCAAATGCAGTATGAGTGGGAACACGGAGCATGAGACAACTACCATCAATAACTAATCGGACCAGATCTGCATGGACTTTATTCTCAGCTACTATTGACCTTACCTAGGGCTCTTTCATTTGCCTCAAACATCAACTTGAGCTCATTAAGTATGCTTGATGGGACCGCAATCATCCCGCCAACTACAAGTACGCTGGAAGACTAATGTCCTGAACACTCTGAATTTCTATCTCACAACTGACTAGGGGAACCGTACCTATATCCGTCTGAAAACATTCTTACCAACGAGTTGTCTATGCGTTAAATAACAGTCTAGCTTAAAGCCTCGAGCTCCGGCTAGCCAAATTCATTTGTCACATTTTGCATCATCGGATCCGATGAAGTCCGGCAATCCGTGAAAGCCTCGGCATCGAGTGTACTCAATATCAGCAAATGCAAGCCCGGCGGATCCGAATTTAAAGATCATCGATTCCAATTCCTCACAGCAATTGCATCGGCTACAAAGATTTATATGATACTTGGCGGGGTTTAGAAACAGGGTAAACGGTTAGTTCCCATGTTGCATCGGCATTTTCCAAGATCCCGGTACTGCCGAACTTTCTTCATTATAGCGAATAAAAAGGGGTTAAGGCTAAGACATATATACCTTGCGTCATCGCCGAGGGGATATAAAGGGTCTCGTTTTGAATGCCCACGTTTGCAACTTGCACCCACACGAGAGAAAGGCAGGATCGTGCTCTTATTCTAGGACCCGGCCTATATATTTGGCTGCTGGTCTCCACCGTTTTCTTCTACTTTCGGATCTCCTTGGCCCGATTCTTTTATTCCCTACCCACACCTCTAAAGGCATCGTTCTATTTCAGACCATATCAACAAATATGTTGCCAGAGAACTATTCCAATAGGCCAGTTGCCGTCTTAGGGGGTGGCGTATTGGGGAGGCGTATTGGTTCGTAATGCTGTGGGACTATTAAATAATTTAAGCTAACTTTTTAGCTTGTATTTGGGCGTCTGCTGGATATGATGTCCAAATTCTAGAGCCAGTTCACGAGCAGCATGAGCCTTGTAGCCTTGTCTCAACTACGTCAGGTAGAACGTCGCGAAGTATCCTGCGTCCGGGAAGAAAGCAACTGGAATCGTCAGCGTGTTCAAAGACCTAAGGAAGGCTGGCTGTCCAAACTGAATGGCTCGTCATTGAGTCATTCCCTGAGAAAATCCAGATAAAATAGACACTTTCTCGGAACTCGAAGCTCATGCCCCGAAGGACGCTATCTTGGCTAATAATTCATCATCATACAAGTCTTCCGAAATGCTTGGGGAAATCAAGGATACAACAAAATCGCGTGTCCTGAACACGGATTATTAAATGCCGCCGCAGAATATGGTCGTCGAGCTGATGACGGATGGCTATACGGATCCGGACATCTTCCCTTTTCTAATGGACAGGCAGAAAGAAGTTGGTTGTAAGCCCTTCCTCTCAAGAAAAGAATCCACGGGGTTCATTTTCAACAGATTGTGGGCCGCGATAAAACGGGAGACGTCATTCATTCTCGCTGAAGGGGTATCGACACCTGATGAAATCGATACGCTCTTCTTAGAATTGACAAGATCCTAGCGAGGACCCTGCAGATTTATGGATGGTTCGTGGACCCCCTCGGCCTTGATTATTCCGCTAACATGCTAGAAGCTGTCGGTTTGGACACCGTTGCCCTCATCGAAGACCTATAATAGAGTAACTAAATATTAAGTAAAGCTTATTTAAAAGAGAATTAAGCTTTATTTAATTATTATTTAGTTTATTTAAAAGCTTAAAAATAATAATTTAATATATTTAAAAAATCTTAATAAAGATAATTAATTTAAATATCTTATTTAAATAACTAAAGATTATATTAAGATATAGAAATATTTTTCTAAAGTATTAGTTTTTAATAATATTTAGAAAACTAATTAGTTTAATCTATAATATAATCTATAAGTAAGCTAATTATATAAGTAAGCTAATTATTTCTATTTAGAAATTAGAACTTTCTCTTTATAATTAAATAACTTTCTACTATAAAATAAATATAACTTTATATAAAGTAAATATTATTCTTATAATTTAAGCTCTTAATTAAAATCTAAAATTAAGTATTAGAGTAATAGTAAAAGTCTATTAAGTTCTATATATAACCCTTTATAATTAATATACTAATTATATAGTAAAATATAATATTTAATTAAAATTAATAAATCTATTAAAATCTAAAGAGAAAACTATTATTTTATATATATTTAAACTATCTATATATATATTTCCTTCTAGAATATATAGTATTAAGGAAATAGTTAATATCCTACTATATATATATAATATATTCCTTATTAGTATTAATTAGACTTCTAACTTTATTAAGTAGTAACTAGAGCTCTATATATACTGGGTTTAGAAATATAACTATTAGAAAGCTAAATATAAAGATCTAAAGATTATTATATTTTAGTTTAGTTTTATATATAATCTAAAGATAAAATATAGTATCCTAGATAAGGATCTATATAATTTTAATAAAACTAGCTTTATAATAAATATTATCTTCCCTAAGATAATAGTTATAACCTCAGAGGGTTATATAAAGATTAAGCTAGTTTAGCCTAATAACTAGAAGTAGGTAACTATAATCTAAGGAGTAAATATAGCTAGCTAGGCTATTCCTTCTTTTATTATTCTAGCTATCTAATATTATCTTAAGAACTAGTATTAGAAATATAACCTACTATATAACTAGTAGCTTATAATATTTAAAAATAGCTAGACTACTAATAAGATTAATCTAAATTAGATTAAGTACTTTAATTTCTATATAGCTCCTTATATAAAGAGAGTATATTAGATACTAATTCTTAATAGCTATAAGAGCTATTACTTAGCTAACTTTAAGATCTATTATTAAGAGTAGAAAATTATTATAGTCTATATATCTCTTTACTCCTTCTACTTTCTTTAGCTACTAAATATTAACTACTTTAGACTACTTAAATAGTTATATAGATAAGAGATTAAGAATCTAATATAGATATATATTATCTATATTAGTAAGCTTAAATTTCTCTCTATCTTTTATATAGCTTTCTTCTACTTCTTTATAGAGAAAAATATCTAGATAAGTTTTATTAGATCTAATCTAATATTATATAATCTAAAGAGAGTTCTTTTAAAGTTAGATATAGTACTATAAATACTAATACTACTAGAGATTCTATCTAAAATAAGATAGTTCTAGATTCTAAAGATACTATAAACTATATATAAAATAAGTATATAATCTAAGTATATTAAATCTTAAATCTTAGTTTATTAAAATAGCTTTCTAATCTTTATACTAGCTATAGTAGATTAATTTATAAAGGGAGTAATTATAATAATATACTAGATAACTCTTTTATATACTAAGATCTATAATCTTTATATAATAAATAAAATACTAAGTAAGTACTAAAGAGCTAAAAAAAACTATATATAGCTTAGAGGGTTTCTAACTATATAGAATAAAATAGATCTATTAAATTAGAAGGATATAAATAAGTAGCTAAGAGGGGAAAACTATAGAAGTAGTAATTAGAAAGAGTAGGCTTATATAAAGACTCTATAATATAGTAATTATAGAAAGCCTGATTATAATATTTAAACCTATAGAAAGATTAGAAAGAAGTCTAATAAATTAATTTCTAGTATTATTATTATAGATAATTAGCTATTATTATTTTAATTAACTTTATTATATAAGGAATAGATAGAAGTAATTAGCTTACTTATATAATTAGCTTATTTATAGATTATATTATTTTATATAAGAAATAGAATAAATTTATATAAAGATTATTTATAATATAATCTTTAGTTAAATATTAAATAAATTATTTAAAAGCTTTTTATATTTTATTAAAATAATTTAAATATAGATTAATTAATATAATATATAACTACTAGATATTATTATTATAGATTATAATATAGTAATAAAAAAAAATCTTTAATTAATTATTTTTAGAGATTTAATAATAAATTTATACTATTTATATTTTAAACTTATTAAAAAACTTTAAATATTTATTTAAAAAGTTAATTTATATAAAACCTTTTAATTATATAGATCTAGTTATATATAGCCTGATCTTGGGATATCCCTTATATATAGTAAAAACCTTAAAAAAAATAAAAACTTTTAATAATATAAAGGAAATATAGAATTTTTTATAAACTTTTAAAAATTAAAGTAAAGTTCTTTAATATATTTATAACTAATAAATATTATTATATAAGTAGAAGCTTAAAATAAATTAAATATTATACTCAGAACTAGCTGTAACTAGCTTGGGCATTATAGATAGGTTCTTAGTTATTAACTACAGGGTAGCCATAGTCGGATAGCTTATAGTTAAAGCCTAGGTTTATAATACCTTTACTTATATATAAGATAATATAATTCTTAAGGCTTATATTCTTTCTATCTACTAGCTGTTTATAGCCCTTTTATAGGGAGCTCTGTGCAGCCCCTGTTTATAGTATAATATTAAAATATAATTAAATAAAAAAAAAAAATTTTTATTAGTTTTACTATAAATAAGAATATATCCTAAGATTAGAGAATATATAACTAGATTATATAATTTTTCTAAGAATATAATTAGTAATTTATATCTAAACCTTTAATACTATAAGATAAAGTTAAAATTAAATACTTTTAGTCTAGATATAGATATTAATATCTTAAAAACTCTAATAATAGGAGCTATTTATATAACTAGATATATAAATAGTCTAGCTATAGCTATAGCTCCTAAGGAAGAAAGCTTATTATCTAATAATAATAACTACTTTTCCTTTCTAACTTAAATCTTATCTTAATTAATTAATTAATTAATTATATTATTAATATTAAATATCTATAATATATTATCTTCTATAATTATCTCTATTTATAGAGCTTTAGTTATTATAAATAATATAGATCTTAATAAGGTAATAGAGATTATAAGAGATAATAGTATATAGCTCTTAACTAAGTATATTTAATATATATTTCTTTAAATAGTTAAAAGTTTACTTATAGTAATAAAGCTACTAATAATACTCTAGATCTAGTAGCTATATCTACTAGATTTATTCTTATATTATATAATCTATAGCTACTATATACTATTAGTATTTAAAGTAAATAAGATATAGCTAAATTAAAAGCTATATCTTAATTATAGCTATCTACTTATTTATATATATTATAATCTAAGATTTTCTTTATAGTTCTAGTATATTCTATACTATCTTAAACTAATTAGAATAAAAATAACTCTTAAGAGTTAATTAAAATTAAGCTTTTTCTATTTTAAAATAGTATAATTTAGATTAGAATATATTAGAGTTTATTTTAATTTAATTTAGAATTATATATATTTAGAAATAAAAAAGTTAGTTACTTTAAGATTATATATTAATTTACCTCTATAAGTATAATATATATTTACTATTATAGGAAATTTTTATTAGAAATAATATAGATTTAATATTAATCTAATATCTATTTATATATACTTAGTTATACTATATAATATAAATAAAATATTATTTTAAAGAAAATAATTAAGTTCTTTTATTATATAATATAAATTTATTATATAGTATAACTAAGTATATATAAATAGATATCAGATTAATATTAAATCTATATTATTCCTAATAAAAATTTCCTATAGTAGTAAATATATATTATACTTATAGAGGTAAATTAATATATAATCTTAAAAGTAACTAATTTTTTTATTTCTAAATATATATAATTCTAGATTAAACTAAAATAAACTCTAATATACTAATACTAAGCCTAACCCAATCTAACTAATACCCTGATCTAAATATAATTAAAAATAATATAAAGCTTAAATAATTAATTTTTAAGAGCTACCTCTATTCTTATTAACTTAATATAGTATATAATATACTAAAACTATAAATTATATATCAGATTATAGTAGGTCTATATAAGAGAATAGCTATTCTTAAGATATAGTATTTGCTTAAGCTGATTTTAATCCTCTGTAAGTATCTATAGTAGCTACTAGCAGCAGACTATATAATAAAGTAATAATTCGAGTAGATACAGCTACCGGACTTATACTATTAAAAGTAGCTTTATTACTATAAGCAGGCCCTTAACTGATTAAAGGAGTATATAATAAATATAGTTAGTAAATAGCTATATTAGATTATCTCAGATAATAGTTATTATTACTTTAAGGATCTTATTAGCAGTATTAAATAAGCTTTAAGAGGTTAGAATATTTATATTAGATATTATAGCTGTTTAAGATATCTAGTAATTAATTAATTAAGTAATTAATTAATAATATAATTTAATTAATTAATTAATTAAAATAAGTTCTAATAGAAAGAAAAGGTAGTTACTATTATTAAATAATAAGCTTCCCCTCTTAGGGGCTATAGCTATAGCCAGGCTATTTATATATCTAGCTATATAAATAGCTCCTATTATTAGAGTTTTTAAGGTATTAATACCTATACCCAGGCTGAAAGTATTTAATTTTAACTTTATCTTATAGTATTAAAGGTTTAGGTATAAACTACTAATTATATTCTTAAAAAATATATATTAAATTATATATTATCTGATCTTAGAATATACTCTTATTTATAGTAAAACTAATAAAAAAAAAAAAAAAAATATAATATAAATTATAGTTAATATATAAATATTATAGAATTAGTTTATTAAAGATATAGATAAGTTTATTAATAACTATTTAGAAAAGTATTTAAACTATAGAAATAAATAAATATATATATACTTAGAGCTTATACTAGCTTATTTATAATCTAAAAGAAGTTTAGTTATAAATTATAAAAGCTTATTAATACTTTATAATAATCTATTTCTTATTAGAAGAAAAGAATAAAGTATACTATATAATACTAGGTTTATATACTTTATTTATAATAGTATAATAGAATCTCGGAATTAGTCTGTTAGACCTAAACTAACCAAGCTCTAAAGCTAAACAGATCTAGACTAATAGACCGAGAGCTTTATATAATAGTTAGATAACTTATACTAGATAGAGGTCTAGAGTAGATTAGAATATAACTAATTAGAGTATTATTCTAAGTAGTAAAATTAGATTATTATAAGTTATATAATATAAGTTACTATTAATATATAAGTATTATAAAGCTAGTAAAAATAAATATATAAATAATTATATTAATAACTATTTAGAAAAGTATTTAATTAATAAAATAAATATATATATATATACTAAGATAATATATTTAATATAAAATATATTATTAGTAATTAACTAGTAGTATAGTTAATATATAGAATATTAATTATATTATCTAGTTATATATAACCAGATATAATAACTAAGAGTAGTTTTTTAGATAATATAGAGATAGTTTATAATACTTTAATAAACCCAGACTAATAGACCAAAGAGACTAGTCTGGGTTAATTAGTCTATTAGCTATACTAAATAAGTTTAGATAGATTAAAATAGCTCTTAGAACAGATTAAAGATTAAAGAGATTAATTATTAAATACTGAAACTATAAAGTATTACTGAAGTTATAAGCTTAAAAGGGTATATAATTACTATCCCAGGAAAGATAGTAGATTAGGTTAAAGAAAGAATCTATATTATATCCTATACTATAACTGAATATATAATAGATTAATATATTACTATTTACTCTAGGATCTATTATTATACTTACTCTCTTACTCTATATAAGTAAGAATATAATAATATTTTATAATATCTATTATAAGATATTCTCTAAACTATATCTATAAAAAAACTATATAAGATTTCTTAAATAGATATTTTAACTATTCTAGTATTTAATATAACTTAATTACTTAAAAATAGTTTATAATATTATTAAATATTATTAATTATTCTATACTTAGTATATTATACTCTATTATATTTATTAATATAAATCTTTTTAGTTATAGTTTACTATATTAGAAACCTAGACTGTTATACTCTATAACTCATCTAGATTTCCAGAGATATTATATTATACGCTCAAGCTATAAGATAAGTATCTTTCAACAGGCCTCGCGGAATATAAATGTCTAATAGCTTTCATATTTTAAAACTGCTGCAGACTGGGTCAGATCTGAGTGGTAGAATTATGCCGTGACGAGGTGAGGCTGGGTATATCTGGGGTCTGGACAAAATCATGCACAGGGAGCTGGCGACTGTAGCGTGGCCAAGTTCGCTGCTTCGGTGATGCTGAACGCCTGGAGTAGTCAGAGTGTCTGGATATGTTCTCTGGCCCCTGGATGATTTAGTCTATTTGATAAGTTGCCAGAAATCTGCTTAATTCACTAGACTACTATCCTAGATCCCACACAGCGGAAAACTTGTTCAAGAGACAACTCATAATCACATAGATTTGAAAGACAGACCATAGAGATAACACCAACCCCAATTTAGATTGGTCCATTCGGAAGCAGGACGGTGTAGTTCTTGAATCTGCCATTCGCCGCTGCATGCTCCTTTGCCCTCTCGACATCCTCCACCTGCTCAAAGGTTGTAAATTCACCCCCTGTCGATTTCCCAATCTCTAAAAGACCCTGGTTGATCAAGTCGAGAACTCGGGTCAGGGTCCCTCGTGTGCAGCACCATCTCGCAATCACCTGCCAGTTGTTGTGGATCGACATGGCATACGGAATATCCGCTGATCCCCATGCTGCACCGCTGAGAATGATCTTTCCCCAGGCCTTCAGGGTCTTTAGCCCGGCTGGAAGAAATACTGGCTTCTCGATCCACCCCGGCGTCCAGTCGTTGAAAACGTCGGCTCCCTTCCCATCGGGAGTTAGTCGCAAGATGGCAGCGGCGTCGGCATCAACATCCCCCGTCATGACTGCATACTTCAGTCTCTTGGGGCTCCCTAGCTTTTCCTTGAGTGTAATTAGGGTCTTTTCCGTCCGGCCAATGGCAATCACATTGGCGCCACAGAGAAGGGCCAGCTCGACAGCAGCACCGCTGAAGGAGCCTGTGGCTGGACCGATGACGATGGTCTGGCCAGCCTGGAGATTTGCCATCTCCAGGATGGCGCCGCCTGCGACAGTGTAAAGAATGATGGTGGTGAGCTCAAGCAAATTATATCCCAGATCTTTCACCAGCCGGTCTACGTTGAGAAGATGGCAGCTCTCGAGCGGCACCTTTTGGTATTTCTGAAAAGAACCATCACGCCATTCACCCTGCATCAGTGTTCGCCCACGCTCTCCGAGGCCACCGAGATGGCCTTGAACAATGACAACGGTATGATCGTCACGGCCAACGATGGTGCTATCAGCCCAGACCAAGTCGCCAGCTTTCAATAGCGTGGCATCCGGGCCCACCTCGATTATACGACCAATGCAGTTCGCATTTGGAACCAGTGGAAGCATCAAATTTGCCTGTTGAACTCCTCCTTGATGGATCTGGGCTAGGTAGGGAAGAACAAGGGTAGCTAGGACCTCGACAACGACGCTGCCGCTGGACACCTTGGGAACGGGGAGGTCGATAGTCTTGCCCGGCTCAGAGAAGGATGAGAGCCAGTAGCCTCTGTTGGTAAGCTGGCCTGCCATGATGGATAGATGAATGCGTCAATACAAGCTAAAGATGCTGAGACCGAAACACATATGGGGGTGGGAACAAATGGAGCCGATGTGGCGCTGCACTTTGAATTTATACGTCTTCTCAAACCGAGGGTGCAACGGCACATGGCAACCGGTGGAGTATTTGCCGATAAACTCGACCCTGACCCGGTGGGGTCCCGAGATTCGGGAGCAGCAGAGAGTAGCTATCCGAGACCCTTTGGCATCCATTCGAAGCAAATCTGAAACCCGAGAAATGATTTCGACCTTGTGCCATTGTCACTAGAGCAGTTGAGTTATCCCTTCGAATGTGTTAAGGCTCCCGCCAGGTCACTGCAAGGATGTCTGCCCAATTAAAAGGGCGTCTGTAGCCAGCACCCTTCCTCGTAATCAGCACCCCAAAAAGCGTATACCTCTGGCTGATGGGCCCAAGACGCCGAGGCCGGACCGTCCCGCCAAATTTGTATATGTGTGTATGTGTATATGTTTTTATTGCGCCCGGGAGAATGGATCTTATAGGGCCGGTGGCTACGCTAAGTTGTCTTCATTTCCCCGCTAACCGTCCGAACCACCTAAGAAAGCCCTACTTTTCTCCAAATTTGTATATAACTAAGCAGCCCGTTGTCGTGGGGAGCCGAGCCCATAGGCTCGCGGTAGTCGCGGTTTAACGTTTGTGATCCCGGAGGGGGTGACATCCACCACGTATGTAGAGGGTCGGAACTGGGCCGAGAGGTGGATCTCTATCAGTAGGCGAACTATAGTCTTACTCAAGTTGAACCTCATATTCGTCTGGCCCTCACATTGTTCGGCTCTGCTGAGCCTTCGATTGCTTGTCCTGTTGCACCATGAGATGAGGAATAAAAGGCCTACAATGCTTATCGTTACATTAGACCGTACTACGCTGATTGTGATGACTTCAGGCGACCAGCTTGCAAAGGAAACTGCACATCCACTTTGATACAGGGCTACGATGGTATTTGATAAATCCTAGATCGCTATCCATTCCATTCGGGATACAAGGAATGTCAGAAATGTATTGCTAGCGCCTAGTTATGTCCTCCATAATAGTCGGGACGATCGCGGGACTTTGCCAACGATCAGTTATCACCGCCACGTGCGTAGGTCACGCTAAAGTTGCCATTGATTTCCTCGACGACAGTCGCTTTCTTCTTGCCGCAAGGGAACTGCAGTTTGAAAGCAGTCTTGTCGTCATCAAGAGAAGCCTGAATAGATGGTTTGTTGAGAGTGGCGGTCTTGACGTAGACGGCATTGTTGACAGCAATGGTGTACGTCGGACCCGCCTGGAGGGGAACGCAGTTGATGGGCGCCGGGGTGATGCCCTCCCCCAGGTCAATGCCGCGGGATACGCCAACGACATCGTTGTCCGGCTGGAGTCTAGCGCTCGCGGCGATGGAGAACTGGTTCTTACCAGGTACGGGGTTTTCGTCATCCGGGGGGATAACGCTAAAGACAGTCCTCGTTGAGGCCAAGGATGCCGTCTGTTGTTCCGAGGGCGACTTTCTTCTCGGTCTGAACATTGACAGTACTGCCCACTGCAAGGGTAGCAGAGCCTGAGGAGCCCATGAATCCGTAGTAGCTGTTGCCTATAAGAGCGATAAGCTATACACAATCTGGCCTTCCGAGATCATGGTCGTCAATGCTGTCGACAGCACAACCTTGGAGGGTCATATCCTCCCCTCCAGCACGCAAATGGTCCCGGTCGACTTGAGTCGCGTCAAGAAGAATAAGAGCCCTCAGATCTCCTTGGTCGAGAATAGTAAGGACTTCTACCTCGGAGGAACTCTCGTGGTAGCAAAGTCGCTGTGGGAACTCTGTAACTCAGGGGCTTCCTCGGAACCGCCACCACGAGTTCCCCAGCAGCAGCAGCCTCCATTGCGTAAACAAGCCGCCCCGCCCAAGTGGAAGGAAGAAGCTGACAAGTTGGGATTCACGTACTTCCGACAGGTTAGTTACTTTTTCAAAGCAGTCTGGCTCCCTGTGACCAGCTTATCACTGACCAGAGCCGCCCATCAGTTGCATGCATACAAGTTCCTCACGAAATATAACGCCACGCAGCTAGCAAGCTACCTCAGTGACAAGCAGATTAAGAGTATTGCTAAGAACGCGAAGATATGGGGAGATAAGATCCGTGCCAAGGACGGGTACAGTGACGAATACCTAGACGACCTGTTGGTCCTAGCATTGTTCGACACGATCCTCTTCCTAGGTAAATTACCATCTCTCCCGGCAACCAATGGATTCACTTTTCTCTCCTATTAACATGTGTGATATTAGACAACTCATGGTCTATGAACGACTCAAACGAGCCCACGGAGGAGCTCCAAGATATCGCCGGGAGCATCGTTGAAGTCGAGAGCATCTACGACAACACGCCTTCCGTCCGTATCGAGTTCCTGAACGGCAAGCCCCGAGACGACACCGCCGAAACCGCCAACGAGGTGAGGGAACTGATTGCCAATATAAACAACTTCGGAACCACCCCGCTCGGAGCCCAGCTCAGAAAAAAAGATACTGGACCGGTTCGTGTACCCCAAGCTACAAGCAAAAGGCACCTTTCGGCCTGCGCTTATCTGCGTAATCACGGACGGGTGTGTAAGTGTTGAGCTGTCATATGTACTCTTATTATGTCGGTGGTTCAGCAACGTCTAGATTGGCTAACTGCTTTTCGTTTCTACGATTATCAGCCTGACCCTGCCGAGAAGGGTAGATTCCAAAACGAGATTGATGAGTGCAAGAAACTACTGAGGGATCACGACAGGACAAAGTTTGGAGAAAAACGTAAGATCAAACAACTGACTCTATGAAAAGAAAGAAAATGATGCAAGAGATTGACGGAGTTTCAAGATGTGCTCTTTCAGATCTCCCGAGTGGGAAAGCTACGCGAGGCCGAACAGTTCATAAAAAGCCTCAAAGCCGATCCGGAGCTGAAGAATATCCTTCATGTCACCTCTTGTATGTTATTAAAAGGGCACGACATTCTCTTTGTTGTCCACTAACGAGACAATCAGATCAACAGCTCGATTTCACAGACGACAGCAACGACCCTATCTTCATGTACTCTGCGGTCCGTACTCCACAGATTTTTTGTGTCTGCTCAACTCTGAGTTTTAGAAATATTCACAACGTTTTTCACAGGCTATCTCCAGACTTGCTGGCGCTGCCCTCCTTGGTGTAAGTCACAGACCTGTCACACTTGATCGAGTAACAATGATGTTGACGGAGCCTCTAGCTCAAAAGTGACGAGGATGGAGAGTTTTTGTTTCCGTCGGGCCAGTAGAGCTTTGAAATTCATACTCAAGAAAGCCACTATGAGTCATAAAACTGTCAAGATAGCTGTGCCGCACTCATTACTTATGTAATGGTATCACATGGCGGAGGATTGAAGCATTATGTAGTGAGGGAGATATTTCAGTACACACCTACAACCAGTTGCTGCGATCAAGGGGCTTTGAAACGTGTGCTCATATCGCGACTAAGTGTTGCTGAAGACTGAATGATCCGGGTTGTAGATGTCGATACTGTTCTCGTTATGGCATCACTCGAATCACTCGAATTGTTAGAATTGTGTACTTCGTAGGGTCCCCGATCCAGGGTTTCATAAGCTGTATTTCCTTATGAATCAATTTCCATAACAGGGTTGAGCGTTCGATATACTTACGCAAGTATATAGCTATTTTCGGATCTCGAAATAGTCTCTTGCGATTCAGCAACGTAGCAAGGGGACTCACCCACATGTACTGCGATGCTTTCCCTGCCGTGATACCGTCATGGAACTAATTAGAAACTCGGAAGTACTTCTAGATGAGAGGAATTTAACTAGGTAGCTGGGCCTTCAGTTGGGCCTGAGCTTTAGAAGGCTCAGCTACGGAAGAGAGAGAGAATAGAGTCTAACAACAATGAAGCTGCCAGGGCCCGACAACTCAACACAATGAATAGAAGGCTCAGCTACAAGGCGAAGATTTGGCCATAAGGATGAGGCCGATCATCAGCTGGTAGTAGGGAACACACACTAATTGTTCATTCGTTTAACGGTGGTAATAATTATCACTCCACCAGCCTTTTTGCTTTCAACAAGTGAGTTAGATCGCCTGCTATGCAATTCGCGCACTTTCGACTACAGATCGACCCTGCATCTATCTGGATAACTAACATGTCGTTCTCTATTATATTTAAGACTTCTCTACCTAGGTCGCTGCAACGCTCGTGATTCCGCAGCTCTGCCATGAACTAATGTTATCATGAAAAAAGTTAACGTCCTCCTTTTCTGACAAGGAAACTGGGAAAGAATAACAAACCTCTGTAACACCGGGTTTAACACAGGGTGTCTCTTTCTCGCCACGAGCATTGCGGGGCGACGTGAAAAAGGCATCCGTTATGAATGCGCTATCACTGCTTTCACTAAACCAACCTGGATCAGAAGCCTCCTTTATCTGCATCAGGTGCTCATGCAGTTTACAGCCGCCAATGGCCCAAGCAAGAGCTTCAAGGTATACGCACCCCAGAGACCAAACGTCGCATAAAGAGTTGGTCAAACTCGACGGATTTGGGCTGAATTCGGGAGCGGAGTAAGTTTTCGAAAACCCTAAAGGCTTTCGAGATGATCGAAGATTGACGCTGAACTGGGCGATGCCAAAGTCGGCTATCTTCAAGGTCCCCATGTCCATACCAGAACCTGGAAACCATAGGATATTCTCTGGCTTGATATCGCCATGCCAGCCGTACATGAGTTTCATGCGTCCATGCATCATGGAATTTTGCGGTGTCAAACCCAAGTCGAGGTTAAGCAATGATTGGCCAGATTCCGTCTCATGACGATGCAACTGACAGAGTCCAGCAGCAAGGCCTCGACATTGCTTGATCATCCACAACAAAACATCTCCTCCTTCTGTGAGTTGGGAAATATTTGGAGACCTCCAAAACTCGGCAAGGGTGGACTTCGCCTCCGGAAATATTAGATGGTAAGAGTCGTTCCACTCATATGCCACTAGCAGCGACACGATGTGAGGATGTGCATTGTTGCTGAAGCGTCGTAGCACGGCAAATTCTCTCTTGAAGATATCTCTACGGGAGTCTCCTCGCAGCTCCTTGACGATGAAATGGCTACCACCAGGCTGTAGGATTCAGGGGTCAAGATTGAGATTGAGATTGTCTTGCATGGGGGATGGTGAACATACTGGATTCTGAAAGTTGTGTTGCTCTGCGTGAATATTGACTCGATAGATCTCGCTGCTTCCACCGTTATGTCTATATTTGTTAAAAGATAAAAAAGGGAGAATATTCTGGGTGATCCTGATCGGCTTGCGGTTCTTCTTGTCAATTTGCCTGAAGAAGAATGGTATTACCGCCCCTTGGCACTCCAGAAACCTCGATTTCGTGAGACGACTCCAATCGTTGAAGCATTCGTTATCATTCGCGTCCTCCCGATCAAAGGGTAACTTGTCATCCGATACTTGATGCTCTAGGAATGATCTAATCTTTGCCGGACGATCGATGAGAACCAAAATTGCCATGATCCTTTTGAAAGATGGATCTCCGCAAATTTGTGCTGCATCTTTCAGGTTATCGGCTTTGGGAGAAGGGGAAGGGCCGGGAATCTGCAACAGTTGCAAAACTTTCTTGGACTTCTTTTTGGACTTCTTTTTGTCGCATTTGTCCAGCTGGTCCTTGACGGCTCTTTCATTGACAATTTCGCCTAGCCGGCCCTGCGAAATAAACTTATTTCCGCCATTGCGAGAGTTGTTTTCAATCTCTCTGTACAGAAGAAAGCTCATCCGTTCTCCGCTGTGCTCGTTTGACATTTTGTGTGTTCTCATGGATATAAGAGCCCGAGGGCGTAATGGCCCCTTCCGACAATGTGGCTCATGAGCAATGCCAAACAACATTCAAGAGATACTTCTAAGCACCGCGAGATGACTAGGGGAGGGAGGGAAAGAAAATCAGCCACTTCTCGGGGAAACGGACTTCCTTCCTCGGGACCAATGGGTTGTGGGAAGTGTCGTGCGAACGGCGTAGGTTGTCGGATGAGACTAGAAAGCGCAAAAGTAGCCTCCCAGAATATGATACACAATTACGTATTTGAAGCTTCATATCGGATCACTCGGCTAGAGTTGAATAAAATTACAAGTCACGGCGTTTCTGAGTATATTTTCTATTTCTGGTATCCTCTTCGAGCAGCTATTGGATCAAATAACCTCCAGCCACTACCGTACTAGATGCATACTTCGGATTGGCTTGATTTTGGCAAGGCGAGAGATTAAACGCCGGTTCATTGGCCACAGATGTGATGAAGGCTTCCCAGCTGAACAGCCACTCAAGCCACTATTCAGCCAAAAAGACAGGGGAGAGAAGGGCTAGTGCGCTGTTCAAACGATGGCTTCACGGGGAACAAGTGCCGCCCCGCTATTAAACGCCATGCATATATGGGCAATTGGCCTGAATAGTGATAAAATTGATCGCCAAAAAGCAGACTGCGTGGATCAGACCTAGTCGTGGATGCGGCCTCATCATGACCTAAGCCATACTGTCTTGGATCAGTTGTCCTGATTGGATTGGAGCATACCTAAATAAATTACGAGGAACAAGGTGGATTAATCATCAACCC